TGTCCTGCAACAAGGGGGACGTTCAGTCTGCGCAGTTGTGCGATCACTGAAGCTGTGTGCTGCGGAGTTTCAGGGCAAGCATCAACAGCACTTCCTTGCGTTTGAAGTGGCTGAATGATTCTCTCGGCGCAGCTTTTTGCCCGAGGCTAGCATGCAACCGGTGGCAAAAGAAGCCGAGGCGGACAAAGCAGCCGGTGCTCTCGAAGCCGAAGGCCATCATATTTTTGTCATGTGTCAGGCTATGTCTATGTCAGCCCCACGACCCGGTACTAAGTGCTAACTTAATTTTTAAAACGCTTTTTAAAGCATCAATCGATTTGACTATCCGAAGTTCTGAACACCAAGTCGAGCCTTGCGACTGTTGGTCCACCTAAGGCGGCCAGCCAGCGGCCAAGGAGAAGTCCAGAAAAATTTGTCAGGCTATTTCAAACCCCATGACCTGTGACTCATGACCAATTGCTATTCCTATTTTTTTCTGGCCTTCTTCAGGTTGTCTTTTCCGGCCTGACGTTCTTGGGCCTCTCTGCGCATGCGCTCATTGCGGGCGCGGTCCCTATTTGCGATCAGCTCTTCGTACACCGCGCCCTCAGAGTCAGAGAACCCGCCAATAAAGAAATCACCGCCCCCCCCACAAAAACCTGCACCTCACCCTACACCCCAACATTCAATGCTGACAAAGGTCGAATTTTTCATAAGACGCGGACTGTCCGCTGGATGTGTTGTAGAAGAACTTCACACGCTTGGCCGTTCCCCACACGTGCCACAGACTCCAAGGACCCATCTCGGGAGGTGTGGCTTCCGCCGGGCTGACCTGCCAAAATCTAAGATGCTAAACTGCTAAACTGCGAGACATCATAATATTGGAACGCCGAAAACCCTAGAACCCAAACGCTGCTAAGCTGAAAGCCAGGTATCCTCCCAGATCACCGGCTGTTGCCAACTGCATATCCGCGCGTCTTCGTTGAAGTAGTATGTTTGCTCGGAGGTGAGCCGGACTTGTCGCCAACCGTACGGCAGTTGCACCTGAAGTTAAGAATGGGAATGGGAAGGGCTTAGGTGTATATTATATGTAAGAAGGAATCCCCAAATTAGTATTGGTAACTATGTAGGCCCCTGTATTAAAGTGCTGATGAAACCGCCACGCCAAGACTCCGTATCGACTGCTTGACCCATGACGTTCATGAGGTGGTCAAAGGGCCAGCTTTCCGAAGGCAAAGACCGCGCCTGGTCACTCGCCTCGATTGCCGCAGGCCGCAGGACTTTGCGACTTGAAGTCTTAGCCAATTAAAATTTTACCATTGTGCGGAGGCGCTACCGCCGATGTGTCTGCGGACGTCGGCGGCGATGGCTGTGCCGGAACCTGTCGGGATGGACGCTAGGGAGGCAACACCACGTTGCACCAAAAGCTAAGACTTAAAGCTTTGACGTTGACAACCAACTGAAAAATGCAAATGTGCGGAGGCGAAGGGGCTGCTGCGGGCGGCACAGACCAAGTCGAAGGCGAAGGCTCTCCAGCAGCTTCCGCAACTGGAGACGGCACCTAAAGGTAAGACGTCAAGCTCTCACAACAAACCAAAATTTAACAAATTTGCAAAGTGCGGAGGGGCCGCTGCGGGCGGCACAGCCGAAGTCGAAGCCGCAGGCTCAGTCTTTCCAGCAGATCCAGCAGGAGACGATGTTTTCGCCACCGGAGCCTGTAGGGTTGGACTTATCTGCACAGGTAATCATATCTAGTCTATATTGTCTGAAAAATGCAAATGTGCGGAGGCGAAGGGGCTGCTGCGGGCGGCACAGACCAAGTCGAAGGCGAAGGCTCTCCAGCAGCTTCCGCAACTGGAGACGGCACCTAAAGGTAAGACGTCAAGCTCTCACAACAAACCAAAATTTAACAAATTTGCAAAGTGCGGAGGGGCCGCTGCGGGCGGCACAGCCGAAGTCGAAGCCGCAGGCTCAGGCTTTCCAGCAGATCCAGCAGGAGACGATGTTTTCGCCACCGGAGCCTGTAGGGTTGGACTTATCTGCACAGGTAATCATATCTAGTCTATATTGTCTGTATGTGTGTATGTGTGACTCTGTGACGACTCTATGATGTATGTGTGTGGATGGACACTACTTCCAAGCTTGCTTTCGACGGACCCCCCAACGCCTCAGGCGCTCGAACTGGCGGCTTCGGTGCCGGCTTTGCGCTGGCCCCCGTGGATTCCTCGGAGACAGAGACACCACATGGCACAAGGTTTTGGCAGCAGGGTTGGGGCTTGTGAAACAAGTAGCGGGTGAGTGAAGGGCTTGCAGAGAGAGTTTACGGTCGCGAACTCCAGCGTCTGTGTGTGCATGTATGTATGTATGTAGGTATGTAATGTATACTGTGCGTGTATGTATGTATTATATATGTATGAACACCACATTTTGCACCTAGAGTTAAGACTTAACAATCCATTGTGCGGAGGCGCCAGCTCCTTCGGCAAGTCACGGGGCTGCTGCGAGTGCTCCTCGGTGACATTAAAAACCGACATAGATCCGTTTCAGCAATCCATACAAACAGGTACAGCAACTGTCCAGCAGCCCGGGCACAGCTGCAGCTGCAGCTGGAGACGGAAATTTCGCAGGAACCTGGGATGGACGCTGGAGCAGTCGCTAGGGAGGCAACACTATATGTGGCACCTAAAGCTAGGACTTAAAGCTTTGGCAACCAACTGCAACTCGGCCACGACCTTGGCCTGCGGCTTCGGGAGGGGTCCGTAATGCCCCTGCCGCCGCCGTTCTGCGCGGCCTTGCCCTCGCGCACCCCAGTAGTCACGTGAGCTGAGCCAGCCGCCGGACATGGCAGCCCTAACCAAAACAACCCAGTCGCCCCGAATTTTAAAATAAGTTGCAGTAGCAGTGGAATTCAGCAAGCTCCGGTCCATTCTCCCTGATATATCCAAAATGAAAATCGCCCTGAAGACCGAAATGTTGCTGTGGTATTTAAAAGTTTGGTTGGAACCCGGGCAAATCCAGCAAAACCCAAGCATGAATCGCCTTTGCCCTGTTGACATTCAAAGGCTCAGTGTGTTAAGGCTGTTAAGGTCCAGGGATTGGAGGCCCAGAGTTTAGAACTACAACATGTTCAACGTGTTCAAGTTCAACCCACACTGAGCTGGAATATTGCAGTTACAGCGATCAAGTAACAAAAGTTCCATGCCACAACGCCATGCACTCCACAAATTGACTGTAGCCAGGAGGTCCTCCGTGCATTCGACCAAGATGACGCAGCGGCGAAACGAGGTCGTTGACCTCGGCGCAGCACCAAAACCCAGCAATCAGCAATCCACATCGCCATCAGGACCCCTGTGCCCAATCCTCAGAGCCAATCCTTTCTCCAAAGTTACAGATCTACGATTGCCGATGTCCCCCACCTACTTTGCTCAATCGACCAGAGATGACCAGTGAGCAGAGTGACCAAAGGCTACAAACCTTGGAGCCTTGGAGACCTACCGCCTTTCGGCGCCTACGTTTGTACCTATACTGTGCTCCACTTTGCCCGTTACGGATCCACTCAGCCGACTCCCCTACAAACCTCATATCGCCTTTCGGCGCCTACTGCATCTACCGCCTTTCGGCGCCTACTGCATCTACCGCCTTTCGGCGCCTACTGCATCTACCGCCTTTCGGCGCCTGTTTACAGAACCCATGTTGCCCAACCCAACCCTCAGAGGACGGACGTCCCTTACCTACTTTGCTTTATCGACCCGTGACCAGAAATGACCAGAAGCTACAAACCTTGGAGTCTAGTCTTGGAAACTTACCATTACATTACTTACTCGGCCTCTCTATCCGGCAATAAAACTTTAAACTTTTCAGGCTTGCATGCCGTGGCCGGCACATACCAGAATGGCTCCAGCTGGCACCTGGCAGCGAGATGGGTGGGCACTTGAACCGAACCTAGAGGAACTGCCACTGCAAAGGGCGTTTTGGAGGTTAGGTGTTTTGGCGGACTCCGCATGGTAGTAGAAAGTGTAAAACAAAGACATGATGCGAAGGCGAGGCAGGCTATCAGCACACTCCAGTTCCTGTTACTGTAGTTTATGTTACTTACTGGTTCGTGCTAATTGACTGGGCACTTGACTTCCGCCACTCAGGATGCGGATGCTCGCTCTGACCGGGATGGCTGCCGCACACTGCACCACCCATATGACCCGCCCCGAACCTTGAACCCTGCCTGGACACCGTAGTTTCAGGGCTGACAGCTTGAATCGGATTTGCTTAGGATTGAAACCCTAAACCCTAAACCAGCCTGGGCTTGAAGGCGTGATGTGTGTTTGCAGACTGCAGGTTAAGAAGGAGAGCCGGGGTTTAGGGTTTGAGGTCCCTTTATAAGGCAATTCAGTGACTTCAGTGACCTTCAGTGGCCTTGACAGAAAACGAAGTCGAAGTCCAGGTCATGCACGGCTTCGCAAGCTCGGGAGCAGAACTGAACACTTGCACTAACTGAACACTTTCACTGGTTTCAAACTGGTGCATTTCAAGTCCAAAGCTGTCTTGCTCACAACCTCCTAACTGACGGATCTGAGTCGCATGCTGGAGTCGTCGTTCGCCTTAAGGAAGGGCAGGACTGCACGGCTTCGCAAGCTCGGGAGCAGAACTGAACACTTGCACTAACTGAACACTCACACTGGTTTCCAACTGGTGCATTTCAAGTTCAAAGCTGTCTTGCTCACAACCTCCTAACTGACGGATCTGAGTCGCATGCTGGAGTCGTCGTTCGCCTTAAGGAAGTGCAGGGCAGGACTAACTCACTGACAAATACCAACCACAGCATGACAATGGCTGAACGTGAACGGCTTTTGCTTTCCACACAGCACGCGGGTCTTAAGGCGAGGATGGACTACATGCACGGCCAGGGTGTCGTGGCCGTGGCAGCGGCGACCGTGAACGAACCGTCGAAGCTGCAGGCGAAGTTGAAGTCGAAGCCGAGGGGCGCAAAGTCGAAGGTGAAGGCACATTCAAATCCGGACGCATTCTCATGAGTAACCGCAAATGAGCCCAGATGTGAAAGCTGCGGCGGCCTTTACTTTTGCCTTTGCCGCCGCTTTCGCCGCCTTCGCGGCCTTCGCGGCCTTTGCCTTTGCCGCCTTCTTCAGGTCGGCCGCCTCTGCCGTCACTGCCGTCTCTGCCGCCTTGGATGAAAGGTGCACGCCGCGAAGGTTGGGCGTGCACCTTCACGCATAACCTCCCTCGATCGTCATGGTAGAGCGAGAACCGGCGGGACTTGTCGTCCCGCAAAGAGTAAGTGTTGGCTGCGGCCAAAATTGCATGCCGGCCCCACTTCCAGTGCTGCTCCAAGTTGTCCAGCGCGAAGCCGGCAGCACCCTCCTCGTCGGTCGTGAGGCGTTCGATGCCTTGCGGCAGGTGCCAAGGCTTCTGCTGCGCGAACCCTCTCAGCGCGTTGGAGATATCCCACAAAAATACGCCGCCTTCTTCAGGTCGGCCGCCTCTGCCGTCACTGCCGTCTCTGCCGTCACTGCCGTCTCTGCCGTCAATGCCGTCTCTGCCGTCAATGCCGTCTCTGCCGTCTCTGCCGTCACTGCCGCCTTGGTTGAAAGGTGCACGCCGCGAAGGTTGGGCGTGCACCTTCACGCATAACCTCCCTCGATCGTCATCGTAGAGCGAGAACCGGCGGGACTTGTCGTCCCGCAAAAAGTGAGTGGTGGCTGCGGTCAAAATTGCATCCCGGCCCCACTTCCAGTGCTCCTCCAAGTTGTCCAGCGAGAAGCCGGCAGCACCCTCCTCGTCGGTCGTGAGGCGTTCGATGCCGTGCGGCAGGTGCCAAGGCTTCTGCTGCGCGAGCCCTCTCAGCCCGTTGGAGATATCCCACAATACGCCGTATTTGTTGTCGACCCACGAAACAAATTTCGGCTCGCCGAAAGGCGAAGCCGAAGACGACTGCGGCTCTGACTGCGACTGCGGCTCTGGCTCTGACTGCGACTGCGGCTCTGGCTCTGACTGCGACTGCGGCTCTGGCTCTGACTGCGACTGCGAAGGCGAAGACGCCATGCTGACTACTTGGAGGGTTGGGGGACTTAGCACTTGCTAACCAGTGGTTGTGGGGTTCCCTTGGCTCTTTAGCTCCTTATTTCTTGGCTCCTTAGCTCCTCCAATATCAATGGTTAGCTTGCACTGCTTGCCAGAATGGCTGCAAACGAAGCTTGAAGTGGGAATCACTTAATGATCCGATAGAAGCAACAAATTCGAAACCCACCATCACATCAACCTAGCCTGTTCAATCAACCAACTAACCAACCAACCAACCAACCAACGCAGCAACCGACCAACCAACGAACCAAGCAATGACACTCACCCATCCAGCTTAACAGCAACTCAGGTGGTTTCGCTCATTCAATCAATCAGTGAATTCACCAGGCTCTCTGTCTGCTCGTGTGCAGCTACTGTGCAGTCAGTGCTGAGTCTGAGACACCCACCATATGCAGCTGCCGCCACAGGGTCCGATCAAACCTGGCACGACAGAGGCAGCGGTAAAGGGACCAGTTCAACATCACGCATTATTGGCACAACTCGAAGCACCGTCACCACATGCTCTTCAGAGATGGGGGACTTTACACTTTACAGTACAGGCCAATCAGTGGCAGTCAGTATGGGATGGCACGGGGGCATGACACGCTGGCGCACTTCCTTTAGCAACCAAGCTCGTCGCCGAAATGTCCTTCTTGAGCTGCGCCTGAGGGAGCAGAAGTGGGCACCCGGATAGCCAAACACGGAACGGAGGTATAAGTGGCCATGCCTGCCCTTCTGCAGCATTGTGCTGATTGTGCTGAGTCACGAACCATCTGTAGATGATGTCAAACCTGGCACGTCACAAGCTGCCTTTGCCTGCTCTTCTGCAGCATTTTTGCTGATTCTGCTGAGTCACGAACCATCTGTAGATGGGGCATCTGATCAAACCTGGCACGACAGACGCAGTGGTAAAGGGCTAGTGAGAAACTCAACAGCATGCTTTACATCAAGCTCTTCTTTTTGGATGCGGCGGTTCAGGGAGCAATGCTCGGAAGACAGGGAGCAATGCTCGGAAGACCAACCCATGCCGCGGCCAAAGGGTCCTATGCTCGTATTTGCCTATGCCTATGTGTAGGGTCAGCCTTGTGTATTGTCATGGGCTATCCCTAAATCGTAATGGTGGTATCTACAATAAAACCCTACATACTAATACATGACCCTTTGGGCTGGCGGTTGGTCCAGCTGTCAGCTGTTGGACCAGCTAGTGCCCCGACAATCCGTGCGAGTGCGAGGCATTCGCGAAGACCAAGACCAACCCAAGCCAAAGGGTCCTATGTGAGCCTGTGTAGTGCTACGGGCGCTACTTCCCAATGCCGTAGTAGTTCCTGATATAGAAACCTTACATTCTACGACATGACCCTTTGGGCTAGCGTTTGGTCCAGCTGTCAGCTGTTGGACCAACTACTGCCCCGATGGGAATCCGTGCGAGGCATTCGCGAAGACCAAGGCCAACACCAACCCAGGTAACCCAGGCCCCAAGGCAAAGGGTCCTATTTGTGAGCCCTGTAGTAGTTCCTGAGTTCCTGATATAAAGACCCTACCTTTACCAACGGTTGGTGTTGGTCCACCTAGCGCTGGGCCGGCCCCGACGGGAGTCGTCGTCCTCACGAGGCGTTCTGGTCCTCGCAGAGGAAAAAGTCGGACGCCCGCTGCCCTTGACATGGCCTTGGCCAGTGAAGGTTAGCACAGCAGCATTGCACCAACTAAGAAGCTGAGCCGCCGCTTATGATGTTGAACCGGCTCTGGCAGTGATTGAAAACGACGGCGCTCGCGTTATCCCAATGTCCAGCGAGAGGAGCGGGGTAGATGTCGTTCCTGGTCCTGAGATCTGTTCTGGATTCTGGAAACCCACAAGTTAAATAGACGACGCTCGAAGACACTCAAACAAAAATTATGCCAAGGATCCGGTTTGCGAACATCAGGAATTCTCGGCCCATGTCGCTGCGCTCGGCGCACAGCGCGTACATCGTACTCCACGCTGATTCGTCGACTCCCAGCTCCATGAGCAAATCAAACAAGTCCGGGAAGTCGGCAAGCATCCTCCGCTGCGCCTAAGATAAGAAGCGGCAGGACAAGCGAACATGCAAGGCAACCAAACACGAATGCAACCGAGCACCTGCGTGGATGGCTCCCGCGCCGGAGGCCCAGGCGGGGTCGCCGAAGCCGAAGGCGAAGTCGAAGGCGCAGCCGCCGTCGCCGCAGTCGAAGCCTTGGGCTCGGGCTTCTCGATGTCGACGCCCATGTACATCATCGTCTGAGCCATCCTCAGGGATGTGGGGGAATGGTTGAATTGCTGGACGCCAAACAAACCGTAACAAACCCCAAACAACGCGGGGGTTCATGTGGATCCTAGGCCCGACACCCGGCCCGGCCTGCCCTCGGCTTCGACCAGCACCCTCTTGATGGCTCTCTCGACGTTCGGGCGCCCCAGGACGGCGATCTCCGTCACGTCCAAAGCGTCCTTCAGGGTTTAGGGTTTAACCCGTTTAGGGTTAGGGTTTAGGGTTTAGGGTTTAGGGAGTTTAGGGATCATCGGCTCCGGCTTCAAGGACGGCGCCCACAGCTCGAAGCCGAATGCAGCGCAAAGCACCACAGCGCACGACACCGACCGGTGGCATCCCGCTGAACCTGAGTGTGACATGACATGTGGAATGTCAAATCGAAACGCAGGCGCTGAATACGGAGTAAGTAACGTGTATAAAGTAGGAAGCCAAGCTGCAACTCAGCGCGATGCAGTGCTCGGCGTCCTCGCCATGGCCACTGAGACCAATGGCCTTGGATTTCCGATTTGCGGATCATGAAGCCCCAACATTGAACTCCCGACACCCAGCCGCAAAAAGTTCTGCCAAGAAGCGAAGCAGACGACGGCCACCATCGTCTGAAATCCCTCTGAAATCATCCTCAGAAGAAAATCCTCGGATTCCAGGGGATTCGAAGACCAAGCCGAAGAGCCGCCGCCACTGCCAACGCCTGTAGTCAGGTATCATGCAGACTTGGGGACTCGGAGTTGAGGTCTTAAAGATACAGATGTTTTTAAATAAAGGCGAGACACGTATTGGTGAAAGAGATCTCCCATTCTCATCTCGCACATTTTGCTTCCACAAGGAGCGGCAGTCATATCTGGGTGGTACTTTGGGGGACATAAACATCTTAATTAAAATGTACGAATAACCTCCAGAAGAACCAAAAAGGGAAAATTTCAAGTATCCCAAAGTGCCACCTAGATGCTGCGATTGAATATGTCCTGGGTAGAACTTTCTCGCATACGTGCCCATGATCGCCCTTCCCTTGCCACTCGGCCCGTCGGGGCCTGAGCAGAAAGCAGAAAATCAGAATCAACAACAAATGAGCCGGACTCTGCCGGACTACCATCCATTTGAAATCGAGGTGCTTAAGCGCCTGTATTCATATTCCGCGCCGTACGCGATGACTGCTCCGCGCAGGTCCACGCATTGGTAAAACATAGCGATGTCGAAGACGAAGACGATGTCCTGATCAGTAGAGTAGAAAGCAAATCTGCAACCGATCAGGAGATAGACTCTTGTCTGCTGGTGACTCCACTCAATCAATCCGAGCAGCAGGTCCTCCAAGGACAAGGCGCCAAGGCCACGCGCTCTATGGCTAGCACAGGAGGCGCACAACAACTTAACGTCTAGTGCTCAAGCCTTACATGCCACCCATGCTAATCTGATTAAAACAGATACATACAGGATTAGAATGAAGTCATAGAAGGGACACCTATGTCTATATATATATATATATACACTTATACACTTATACAAACAGAGTGCCTAACAGTCAGACCCCATACATCCAACACCTTTACATGACCTCAAAATGCCACCCAGGCTAAATTTGTTCAACCAGATAAAGCTTATCAGGGACCTCAGTTCAGGTCATGTACGGATCATGGAATTAGATCCTAGGACATTCCAAAACCCTGTTAACTACATTTAAAAGAACACCCAAGCTCAATCAACAAAAATGAAGGATGAGAGTGGAAGTCGGAAGTCGTGGAAGGACCTATGTAAGCACCATCCAGCAATATCTTATCGGTTGTCAGTGTGGCAGCCACCTTACCTGGGTGCTACAGCCCTGAATTAAGACTGGTGTGATACCAATTGCAATGCATGTATTGTAATTGTAATGTTTCATGTCATGCTGACGCTTCAACCAATGAAGCACTTGAGCCCGACAAGAAGCAAAGCAACGTTTGTTGTGCCAACCCTCACATGCATCAGCCACCTCCTTCAACCATGTGCATGCACCCACAATACTCGCGACAGCAAAAACACGCTGAGGAGACCTCTTCCGACAGGCTCCATGAACCAACGCGACGAAGACGAAGCCGAAGTGCTGGACCTGGCGTAGCAGTCCGCTGGTAGCAGTAGGACAAGCAGTAGCAGGAGCGAAACACAGACAAGGACAAGCAGCTACGGGAACTGCCAGGCGTAGCGTCCAATGACGAACAAAGAAGGGCCGCTCCTCCTGGGCGCAGATGGCGGTGATCCCGGCCTTAGCTGCACTGTTCTGGCGAGCTCCCACAAGACCACAATACTCGCGACAACAAAACACCCTGAGGCGACCTCTTCCGATAGGCTCCATGCGCGACGAAGGCGAAGACGAAGGACCTGGTGTAGCAGTCCGCTGCTAGCAGGAGTAAGACACAGGCGGCCCCCATGTAGAACCAACTAGTTGCATCCTACCCGAAGTCTCAGAATTCAGAACGGGTTGCTGTCTTGGGCCCCCACTGTGCGAAGCATTTCTGTCGCTGTCCAGCGAAAAGCATTCTTGCCACGCTGCTGGGCGGGATGCACAGGGACAAGAAGTTAACGGCTGGGCTAACGTGTGATGCTAGTTGAGGTGGGGGGGACTTAAAACTTAAGAACTACTTTAGGACTTATGGGCCTATGGGGCTTAGAGATTCGGGTGACCTGTAGGGCCTAGGGTTAGGGGTTGGGGTTTAAGCCGTACGAGTCCATCCTAAAAATCGAAACCAAAGCCGAGGTTACGGATCTACTACTACTTTGCCGACTTCCCTTAACTAGATTGCCTTCCTCTATCGACCGGAAACATGAAACAAGGACCCTGTGCCCAACCCTCAGAGGGCCTATGGGGCTTAGAGATTCGGGTGACCTGTAGGGCCTAGGGTTAGGGGTTGGGGTTTAAGCCGTACGAGTCCATCCTAAGAATCGAAACCAAAGCCGAGGTTACGGATCTACTACTACTTTGCCGACTTCCCTTAACTAGATTGCCTTCCTCTATCGACCGGAAACATGAAACAAGGACCCTGTGCCCAACCCTCAGAGCCAAGCCTAATCTCCTCGAAGTTACGGTTTGCCGACTTCCCTTGCCTAGTTTGCTCTGTCGAGCAGAAACAAGGACCCTGTGCCCAACTCTTAGAGCCAATCCTTTTCCCATTTCCCGAAGTTACGGATTTACTTTGCCGATTTCCCTTGCCTACTTTGCTCTATCGATCCCGCACTAATGACCAAAGGCTACAAACCTTGGAGACCTATCGCCTTTCGGCGCCTACCGCCTTTCGGCGCTTACCGCCTTTCGGCGCTTACCGCCTTTCGGCGCCTACCGCCTTTCGGCGCCTACCGCCTTTCGGCGTCTATACCGCCTTTCGGCGCCTACCGCCTTTCGGCGCCTACAGTGTTACAGTATAGGTTTTAGGGTTTAGGAGTTTAGGGTTCTTAAGTTTTTAAACCCGAAGACCCTAAACCTAAACCCTACCTAAACCCCTAAACCCTTAAACCGTATGGGGCTCCGGACCTGCTGCGATGAAGTCGGCACGCCTGGCCTGGGTGAAGCGAGGGGGGGCCCGGGGCTACCGGGAGTGGGGCTGGGGACTGGGGATGCAGGGCACTCTAGATTACCGCAAACTCGACAGAGCACAATGCTGCAGTGACAACGGCCAGCTGAAAGCAATTATTGGGCCGTCCCGCCCCCCCCCCCCACCTTAGCACAGAAAGAAAACACAAAATATCATAAAATCTGAGAACACATTCTGACAAGGTATGCACCTCACTGACCGGAAGAAATCCGAACAAAAACCCTCAAAAACACCTGGCCCCTGGCACTCTGAGGATGGGCGAAGTCGAAGTCGAAGACCAAAGACCTGGGCGAAGTCGAAGACGAAAAGTGCTGACGCTGAACTATTCTCAAAAAAAGAACCCTAAAGCCCCAGGCCCCAAGCCTCTACCCTAGTCCAACATCATTATCAATTATCCTTGCCTTAAATGATCCTAGAATCGGAGCCCCAAGCAATATAACCCCTAAGCCAAGCCGCAGCCCTCTACCCTAAACACCTAAAGCCATAACACCATGAACCCTGAGTTCCAGGCCCAGCTTCCGGATTGCCGATCGGGGCTTTTCTAAGCTATAGGGAATCTTGAGTTCCTTTCTTCTGCTTTCTTGCATGCTTAATTTCTACGGGCTCACTTATCTGACCTCATGCTGGCAACTGCTAGAACACACAAGCGGCGGCAGAAGCGTTTGATTGCAACTGAAACGACATGAGATTTTGATCAGTCACAGCTGCAAGCCGGGCCTCGGTCCGCGAGGCGTCAAATCAAAAACCAAAGTTCGCAGGCTCTAGCCTTTGAGCCACAATCTCATAAGCAAAGCAAGTCACCTGCAATCAAAAGTCCTCCTGGCCCTGGGTTTAACTCTTTTGGGCAAACCCTGAAATCAACCGGTTCCGGCAACCCTGTTTGGGTGCCTTGAGCCAGGCTCTAGAGACAGCAGGAGGTCCAAACACGGAGACCGCAATAGAACAAGGAGTTGGGGTAAACCCTAAACCCTAAACCCTAAACCCTATTCTATTGAGGGACCATCAAGAAAGCCAGCAGGTTTTATCGCACTTTCGTCCGGCTCCGGCCTCTTACGGGCGAACCGCGCCCAGAGTCTACAGGCAGTAAGGCGATAAGTTGGTTTAGGATCCAGGCTTCGGGTTAGAGAGTTTGATGTTACAGTTTAACATCTATATAGGGCTTGGGCTGTAAAGTTTGGCGTGCCGATCGGCATGCACTCGCTCTTTGTTCCAATGCATAGTTCGGTGAATGCAGTTCGCGCACAGCTCCGGGTACTTTTGTCTTGGCATCAACTCTGTCCTGCTGACGCAAGCAGACCCTACTTGTGAGTACCCATGACCCTCCAAGTAGTTTTGCAAGCAGAGTACAACCCCCAGCATAGTGGTAACCCCTAGAACCTGCAGCCCTAGACCTTACTTCGAGCCTGAACATCTGCCCCCCACCCTCCCACCCTGCCCTACTTGCTTACCTCTGCTTAGGGAATGGAAGAATGGTAGTAATAGTAGTTACAACTGTACCCCATTCCTCCATTCCCTACTAACCAAAGGTAAGCTTGTTTAAGCAAGGTGCTTGCCGCAGCCGGGAAGACCCATCAGCCTCGGCCCGCGATGAAACAAAAATTGCCTCCAACATGGTCCCTCGACGAGCATCCGACTACCTGTGGGTGGTTGTCAATATTAGGGTCCCTTTTTGATCCTTATTATAATACGGCACCTATTATATACTTAGGGTACCCAAAAAAGGGACCTTAATTTTGACAACTACCCCTGTGTAGGTTTGGGGCTTCGGGGTTAGACTTCCTGTGTTCTATGTTGTTTAGGCCCAGACCTCGGGCTAAGGTGTAGAGACTGTAGAGATCTATGGTAGAAGCCAGGAAGTTGGAACATTAGTATCCTCATGCCCCCAAGGTAAGGGATAAGGGATTCTAGCACTAATCCTCCTAAACTCATGTTCCAACTTTCTGGCTTCTACTGTAACGGGGTCTTGAAGCCACTGCATGGGATGTAAAACTGCAACCGGAAGAGCACTTTGAGAGCAAAATGAAGCTCGAAATACATGGTAAATATTCGTTAAGGGCCCATTTCCAAAAAGGTTTCCCTGCGCGGCCTGCGCTAGCTGTCTACTACTTTCCGATGCTGCACATCGACGAAGTCTTAAGTTGCGCTCATCCATGGCCGATTTTGGGCTCACCGCAAAGAACAGCCCGGATAATGGCCGCAGCTGAGGAGCATCACCAGGGAAGGCTTGGCGACCTTGCTCAATGAAAGGGGATGGGAGAGTGGGCTCAAGTGGGTGCCAGGCTGGCTTCTGAAAGCCAGCAGCAACAGCCGTTGGAATTTGAATGTAGGGCTTGCGTAGTGCTATGGTCTGGCTGGCGGGTTTAGGGAGCATTCAGGACTAAAGGATATTGAATCACGGCCCACCGGGCATAAGGCGTCATGGCCGAACTAGTAGGTGTGCTTTACTAATGAGACTTTGTTGTCGTTTAATTATAGGCTCAACAGGCCCCGGGCATATGCCCGTAGGCCCTTTAACAAAAATATGTGGGAGATGCCTACAAAATGGAAGCCAAGATGCTAATGACACCCTTGCAGAAAAAGAAGACCCCGTAATTCTTATAATCAAACCCGACTAAACCCTATAGAAACCTAAAGAACCCTTGCAAAAAAACAACCAGACCTTGTAACTTCAAGTTACAGTAACTTGTAGAAACCCGAACCCGCATAAAGTCCAACAATAACCCTGGACCTACGAGTAACCTACGAAGAAGAAGGGTGCCCGTTTTGGTTTAAAGGGAGTTATCAGGGAACCTGAACCCTAAAAAAGGGGTCCTACGGTTGATGATATAAATCCTGCATTACCTTCAGGACCCTAAACTATGGGGAATTATGGTATATTCCTTATTATGGGTAATGCAGGATTTATATCATCAACAGCCTAAACCCTAAAACCCTAAAACCCTAAACCCCTAAACCCCTAAACCCTAAAGCCCTTAACCCCTAAAACCCTCAAGCCCTAAAACCCTAAAACCCTAAGCCCTGAACGACCCGTCCTTCGGCTTCCAGGTCATGGCTGGTGCCGCTGCGGGGGCAGCTGCCGGCTCTGCCGCAGCCGCGGGAGCCTCCTCACCGCTACTTGGAGAGTCGGGGGACTTAGTAACTATAAGGGGTTCCTTTAGGGTTCCTTTAAAGGGATCTATAGGGATTCTATAAGGGTATAGGGTTTAGGGTTTAGAGTACTTGGAGGGTCGGGGGACTTAGTAACTGGTTATTTTGCGGACTTATAAGTACCATAACCCCAATTAAGGTCCCTTCCAAGTGCTTGCTCAGCATCCCCAGAGACTCCTAGGATCCTTTAATTAAGGAATGTACCTTAGGGTTCCTTTAAAGGGATCCTTAAAGGGATCTATAGGGTTTAGGGTTTAGGCGATTCTAATATCCAATAGTTAAGGAATATACCTTAAATCATATGAAGGATCCTACTATGGTATATTCCTTAGTCAAGAGATATTGGAGTCTCTGTGTCCTACTTGTAGTGGAACGAAAAGGGAGTGAAGCGCTTAGGTGATACCCTAAACCTGATCACAAACCCTAAACCCCTAAACCCTAAACCCCTAAACCCTGAACCCCTAAACCCTAGCAATATAAGAGGAGCATAGTACCCCAAAAAAGCTAAAAGCTACCTACTCTACTACCAACTAAGCTATCGGGCTCCTGTTGCGCAAACTATTTTTTGCAGCTCCTTTTTCCACCTGCCCCTGTCCGAGATTAGTGAAAAGCCATTTGGCTGGGCCACTTGCTGAACTTCCATCAATGCCGTGTGGATGCTCCAAAGCGGGCTTCAATCTGGTCGTAGACAGCACAGGCAATTCACCGTTCATGCAGGGCTTCATACGAATCCTACTCAGCATAGCAAGAGCATCAACAACAGCAACAGCTGCGGCAGCAACAACAGTAACAAAAGAAGCAACAACAATGACAAAAGCATACACACCCTCCTGAGCCCCACTGAATACCCTGATGCGGTGCAGCTTCGTAACTTTTCCCTGTGCTGTAGCCCCTGTTCCAAGCTGCGGAGTTGTGGTGTATATACTACTATACATATACGAAGGAACCCACACCTTGGTATGTTGGGAGTCATTTAGGACCCTATATTAGTGAGGGTTTAGGGTTTAGGGCTTAGGCCTAAACCCTAAACCGTAAACCCTAAACCCTATCTCCGAAGAGGCCTGCTCCTCTTCGACGATGGTTTGCTTTTCGAGCTCCTTGTCGATCTTCTGGAGCTCTTGCCTCAGATTTCGGGGGGATGCGGCTCAGAGGGATTTCGGGCTTAGGGGTTTCAGGGTTTAGGGCTCTAAGGGTTTAAGGGTTTAGAGTTCAGGGTTTAGGGTTCAGGGTTTAGGGTTCTAAGGCTTTAGGGTTCTAAGGGTTTGGGATGTGGGCTCGGGGTTCCGGAGTTTGGTGCTATGGGGTTGAAGCTTCAGGCACCGAACTTGGCGCTCAGAGGTAGTCGGTCACTGGGGGGACGCGCTTGGGTGGTTCTGGAGTAAAGGAGTTTACAGTAGAAGCCAGAAAGTTGGAACATCATCGTCCTCATGCCCTTAAGGTAAAGTATAAGGGATCCTAGCACCAATCCTCCTAAAACCATGTTCCAACTTTCTGGCTTCTACTATAGGATTTCGGGTTCAAGGTTTGTGGGTTTACTGCGGAGTGGGGGAGATTTGGGTTTGGCATTTGGGTGATTCGCAGGGCAGGCTTTGGGGATTTGAGGCGGTTTAGGGTTTAGGGTTTAGGGGATTTGAAGCATGAATCTTCAGTATTGCTCGCACTCCACTCTCATACCTGGAGCTTCGTGGGACTTGGTAAGCACACTTATAAATTCTTTAATTGGGGTTGCAAGTGGCTCTAAGTATAGTTACCTTATCTATACCAGTCCCATGAACCTTTAAGCACCATAAACTCAAACCTTACATTGCCCAGCACTTCAACCCCTGGACGGAACGCGAAACTCGGAGAGCTTGCAAAGACCCTATAAACCCTCTTGGAGTCTCGAAATCCCTATAATTGTCTCCGATAAACAATCGCATCAGAAAACAATGTCTCCGAGTATCGAATGCTCAGAAATCCTCTGTAGCGACACCGGTATGAAATCGTACGAAAGACTACACAGCCCCATCAAACCCCGCATGAAGCCCGTCCGGAACACAACTCTAAACCCTAAACCCTGAGCCCTAAACCCCGAAGCCTAAACCCTTAATCCTGAACCCCCCAGCGTAAACCCTAAACCCAGCCCAAGACTTCGGAAGTTTCGCCAGTGGGCAGGAGCGCCCCGTCGTCAGTGCAGTGCTCAAGGCCGTGGAGTACCGCATGCTTGGCGTCTGCCGGCTGCTTCCTTTGCTCTTTGGCTTTGCAAGTGCTCTACCTTAACCTACAAGAACCTACTTTTTTGTAGGCTCGAAATAAACTCCATATGAGGTTTATAAACAGTTTATAATAAGAACCACCAAACAAGCAGGTTTTGATAGCTTCCGGCTGAACGGTGTCAAAACCGGGAAAGGATTTGAGATTATCTCCGAAGCACAAGCCCTAAACCCTCATGAAGTCATCATCGAACCCACGAATCGCACGAACGAAAGGTCCCCTAAGTACCCTAAAAGGGACCCTAATTGGGGTTATGGTACTTATAAGTTCCTAAAATAAGGGTTTAGGGTTTAGGTTTTTTTTTTTTTGAACTCCTTTGTTTAGGGTTTAGGGTTTAGGGTTTATGGTTTTACTAAAATAACCAGTTACTAAGTCCCTTGACCCTCCAAGTAAGCTACAGAAACCTCGCGCACCCGACTGCATCCAGCGTGCAGGAGGCGCAGAGCTCTCGCGAGTCCCAGGTAGCCTCTCACCAGTTACGCGTTGAAGGGGCTTTGGGCTACCCGGAGTCAGAGACTCCGATATTCTTAATTAGCTTAAGGAATTTACCATTAAATCATACTTGGGATCCTACCAATTACGCGTTGAAGGGGATTTGGGTTACCCGGAGACTCCTAGGATCCCTTAATTAAGGAACATACTTTAACATATACTTGGGATCCTTCTATGATTTCAGGAATATTCCTTAATTTAGAGATATTGGCGTCTCTGGGTACTCTACGGGTTTCAGAGGTGTGTATAAGAGGTCTCTATGCATGAGGCTGTACAAGGTGTTTATATGGGAGTTTCCGAAAATCGGGAACCCTAATATACTACCCTGAATAAGAGGATCCTTATTATAAGGACCCCAAAAGAATGTACCCATAATTTTCGGAAACTCCCATATGGTTTCAGTTTTCATGGGTCGGGCAAGCGGTTCGGCTGAGGGGCTCAGGATTTCGGGGGGCCTTCCGAGCCCTAGAGAGCCCTAAACCCTGCAGTTAAGAACCCTCCAACCTAAAACCAGTTAAGAACCCTCCAACCTAAACCCTAAACTCTAAACCCTAAAGCCTAAACCCTAAACCCTAAGCCCACTCTACCCTGCAGTTAAAACCCCCTCCGATTCCCCTTGAAACCAGATCCCACCTCGCGCAAAGTCGGGCCGGAGCTTCGCAGCCTGCTTGGCTTGAAGGCTTTAGGGTTAATGTTGCAGGGTTTAGAGTCTAGAGTTTAGGGGTTTGGGGGTTGCGGCTTAGGGTTTAGAGTTTGGGGGTTTGGGGTTTGGGGTTTAGAGTTTAGGGGCTTGGGGTTTGGGGTTTAGGATGCTTTAGGGTTTGGGGTTTGAGAGAGTTTGGTGTTTAGGAAACCTCAGCTTAAGCTGGTTCTGGCTTTGGGGGTTTCAACATGGGAGTTTCCGAAGATTAGGGGGCACCTCATTTTGGGGTGCTTATAATAAGCATCCTACTATTTAAGGTACTATACTACTTGTAGGGTCCCCTATTTTCGGAAACTCCCACATGCTTTCGAATAAAGTGCCAGCGTCTGTGGAGGTTGAGGCAGTATTTTGCAGGAACCTGATTAAGAATGGAACCTTGGGCCTAGGGGTTCCTTTAAAGGGGTCTATAAGCATTACTTTACGAGATCTATAAGTGTACGATAATAGTGTGGGAGCCTGATTAAGAAACCTTGGGCCTTTATTTGGGTTCCTTATATGAATCCTACTCTTTGGGTGTTGTAGGCCCAGGGTTTCTTGGTCAGGTTCCTACATTAAACTGTGGAGCCGTTTCAAGAGATAGCAAGAGGAGCGTGGAAAGGGACCGGACAGCTTCCTCAACCCCGAACACCACAGCGACACGCTGTACCAGCCATGCCCTGGAGACACCAATCTTCAAATTCTCAGGCCTGTCGTCCTGCTCAGTAGCTTAGGGTTTAGGGGTTTCGGGTAGGGTTGAGGTTCAGGGACCTGGGAGTACAGACCCAGACCGTTTGTCTCTGAAAGCCTCTGTAACCTTCAATGCAAACCCTTGCAGAAACCACTGCGACTGCAAATCCCGACTATGAAAACTGCGCAGACAGTCAGATACAGTCACTGTGGGATACGGCGGCACACTTACACTTACACATCTCTATATTAAGTTTATCGCACAGCTGATGCTGCTTCTCTGAACTCCCCATACGGTCTCACTCCGCCACTGAAGCTTCAAACCTTACACAAGCGTCACGCCACGAGCCCCTGAACCCCTAAACCCTGCCTCCCTGAATCCCAAAGCCAAAACCCTGAATCCCTAAACCCCTGAACGCTTCATTTGGGGGTTTCCGAAAATAGGGGATCTTAATATAGTACCCCAAATAGTAGGGTCCTTATTATAAGGACCCCAGAATCAGGTACGTACCCCCTGTTTTCGGAAACTCCCAAAACCCTAAACCCGTGAACCCTTCATTTCAGCCCGGGCCCGCCTGCCAGAAAAGATCCACCGCCTTCTGAAGTTCCTCCTTCTCACCGAAAGAAGGTTTAAGGTTTAGGGTTTAAGGTTTAGGGTTCAGAGTTAAAGAGGGTAATGTCACATTTTTAGAGGGGTTCATAAGGGGCTTCATGGGATCCTCACAGTGTTTGGGGCTTTGAGTATTGGGATCGTGGGTGGTTGAACCCGGGTTTGCATCGGGGGTTCTGCGGTATTCGGGGTCTTCCGGTACACTTCATTCGACTTAGCCGCCGTGCCAAACGGCATTGGCGTTAGACTCCCATTTACCTCGCTTGGGGGGGCGATACTTGGAGGTTCTTGGGTAGCTATACGTGGGGTTATAAGTAAGGTAACTATACGTATAACCCATATGAGGGGACTTATAACGCCACTTATAACTACCCCTGAACCTCCAAGCCTATACCCTTGTAGAATCCCCTATAGATCCCTTTCAAGGGACCCTTAGAGGAACCCCATTTATAACTACCCTGAACCCAAATCCGCCTCTGAATGTACCTATAGTCTCCATTGTAGTTCCTTTTTTTGGTTAACCAAAATCTCTATTGTAGGGTCCTAACCATAAAATTGGATAACCAAAAAAAGGAACTACAATGGAGACTATAGGTAACTTCAATAGGCTGGGACCCTGTCGCAGTGTCTCCGAGTTTGCAACCTGGCAGTGGCCTTGCAGAACGTTTTTGCAACAGAAACCAGTAAACAAATATACATAAACCCATAAACCCATAAACCCCTAAACCCCTAAAGCCCGAAACCTGAAGCCCTCAACCCCTAAACCCTAAAACCCTAAACCCCTCGACTCAACCCTAACCCACAAACCCCTAAACCCCTAAACCCCTAAACCCTAAGCCCTAAACCCATAAACCCCTTAACCCTAAATCCCTAAAGCCCAAAAAGTCGGCTCCTCCTTTCCCTCCGTCTTCTGCTTGCCGCTGTTCAGCGCTTCAGCGGCCTCTTTCGCCTTGCCCTGCAGCCGCAGAGCCCTTAAAGGGATCTCTATAGGTTTAGGGCTTAGGGTGTCATGAGGGTCCCTCTAAAGGGATCTATAGGGATTCTATAGGTTTTGAGGGGAACTCCAGAAAGCTGGAATATGGTTTCAGGGTAGGATACCCTATAATTTACCATAAAGGTGTTACGATAATGATATTCCAACTTTCTGGCTTTTACCTTAAGGGATCTCTAAACCCCCGGTAGAGGAAGCCTTGAAGGAACCCTACAGAGCCCTTAAGGGATCTCTATAGGTTTAGGGTTTAGGGGTTAGGGTCTAAACGATCCTGTAGGGATCTATAAGGGTTCCTTTAAGGGAACTCCAGAAAGTTGGAGCATGGTTTCAAGGCAGGATACCCTATAAATTACCATAAAGGTGTTACGATAATGATATTCCAACTTTCTGGCTTTTACCTTACGGGATCTCTAAACCCCCGTAGAGGAAGCCTTGAAGGAACCCTACAGAGCCCTTAAGGGATCTCTATAGGTTTAGGGTTTAGGGGTTAGGGTCTGAAAGATCCTGTAGGGATCTATAAGTGTTCGTTTCAGTGATCCACAAGGGCTCCTTTAAGGGATGCTCTAAGGGATGTATAAGTCTGTAAGGGTTCCTATTAGTGATCTACAAGGGCTCCTTTCAGGGATGCTCTAAGGGATCTATAAGGCTTCCTTTAAGGGACTCCTTTCAGGGAGCCCTTTAAGGGAGCTCTTAAGGCACCTCAGGAAGCCTCAAAAAGCGCCCTGGTCGAATCATTAAGGCCCACGATCTCAATATGGGAGTTTCCGCAAATACGGGGTACCTTAGGGTTCTTTTAAAGGGTTACTGTAAGGGTACTATAGGGGTTCTATAAAGGGTTTAGGGTTTAGAGGTTTGGGAGTTTCCGAAAATAAGGGGTACCTCATTTTGGGGGGGTCCTAATAGTAAGGACCGTACTTTATAGGGTTTGAGATTAGGGTCCCCTATTTTCGGAAATCCACATACAGAACCGTCATGACAACCCTCACGGCTACTCCAAAGCTCTGCCGCTTGGGCCCTGGGCTCCTTGAACCCGACTCCCAAACCCAAACTCTACTATTACTATACTATTTATTACTATTACTATTACTATTACTATTACTATTACTATTACTATTACTATTACTATTACTATTACTACTACTATTACTACTACTATTACTACTATTACTATTACTATTACTATTACTATTACTATTACTATTACTATTACTATTACTATTACTACTACTATTACTATTACTATTACTATTACTATTACTATTACTATTACTATTACTATTACTATTACTATTACTATTACTATTACTACTACTATTACTACTATTACTATTACTATTACTATTACTATTACTATTACTATTACTATTACTATTACTATTACTACTACTATTACAACTACTATTACTATTACTACTATTACTATTACTATTACTATTACCGTGTCTAGGCAAGACTCCGCCAAAGCAAGCAACAACGTGCCCGGGCCCCAAGCGTTCAAACTCAAGCCTTGGAGCTTGCGGTTTGGGGCTTATGGCTTAGGGTTTAGGCTTTCGGGTTCCTGAACCACGAACATGAAAATCCAAACCCCGATACCTAAATACAGCCAGACTGCCACTTCCAAACTTTGATGCACCGTAATTATTCCGAACTGTCAACATCATTAAAGGATTTGACAGGGTTTACTGTTTAGGTCTCCACTGCCTAAACCCTAAAACCTAAGCCCTCAACCCTAAGCCCTGAACCCGAAACCCTAAAGCCTAAACCCCTAAGCCGTTTCGAGACAGGTCTTCTTACGTTTTCGAACGACCTGACCCGCCCCACCTGCCATTCGACCATCTTTTCCACCGGATACCTTTGCTTCTCTCGAGGGGCTTCGAGCTTGGCGGGTTAGGTTGAGGGTTTCTAGTCGTAGTAGTAGAAGAAGTAGTAGTAGTAGTAGTAGTAGTAGTAGTAGTAGTAGTAGTAGGAGTAGGAGTAGGAGTAGGAGCAGCAGCAGTAGCAGGAGTAGGAGCAGCAGCAGTAGCAGTAGCAGTAGCAGTAGCAGTAGCAGTTGCAGTAGCTGTAGCTGTAGCTGTAGCAGTAGCAGTAGCTGCTGCTGCTGCTACTACTACTACTACGACGACGACGCCGCCGACGACGACGACTACTACTACTACTACTACTACTTACAGACAGCTTCGTCTTACACCATGCCTCGACGCCTTACCTCATACCCACGGAGGTTCTTACGCCTGGCATCGCCCCGAAACCTCACGAACATCCACGGCACATTGGAGGAAACCGAAAAGCCTGACAAAAAGCCCTTCGATGCCTGAGCCGCACAGACAGCAGGTCGTGGATACCGAGCCCTCAAACCTGAAGCTCAGGGATTAGCTTAGAGGCCCTGTCCGCCCCCGTAACCCTGAACGCTTAACCCTCAACCCTATACTTCTCCACGCTCAAGCCCATGAACCCAAAGAGTGAAACTATGAGCCACTAAGATACTTCGACGCGCCGGGGCCGTAGGCTGCGCTGCTTGCCCTGAGTCAGCACTTTAAGCTTGTAATTATAGTTATCGTGGTTCAGAGTTTAGGGTTAAAAGGGTTAAATCAACCTCTGACCGACTGGAACAAGTTGAGGTGGGATTCTGGGGAGGGATGCTGACTATGATGATGATGAGGATGATGATGGTGAAAGCGCGAAGGTGTGACGGAAGACGCTACCAAACTCGCGCGCATGTAAGAGGCTTGAGGCTTCTCACGGATCTCTGAACGGCCTTGGCTTAGAAGGCAGGGCTTCCGATGGGGTGTCTGGGAGTCTTAAGGCACCCAGAGACTTCAATATCCCTTAATAAGGAATATACCTTAACTTATAGTAGGATCCTTAATATGATTTAAGGTATATTCCTTAATTGAGGGATGCTGGAGTCTCTGGGCATGCTCCGTAAACCACAAACCCTAAGCCCTGAACCTCCCCTTTCGAAGACCTTACTCACTAAACCCTATTTAAACCTTTGAGCCCCACCCGAACCCTACCCTATGCCTTAGCTACGGTCCTCCGAAGCCCTCACTAAGCCCGAAACATCAACACCTCCAAGCTCTAAGCGAAGGCCTGTCCAGCGCCGGAACTGCCGCCTCTCCCCGGAGTAGCCGGACGACCTGTGGAGACAGGTGACCTACTTGGGTGTATAGGGATCATATAGGGACTCTACTACCCAAAACAGGCTCAAGGCTACCTACTCTACGACTAGGGTGATGGTGCTGACTCCTTTAGGTTCCCCGATTTAGGGTCGAGGGCTTCAGCCGCCCGCGACTTTTCGCGAACCCCTGTCGTAGCTTTGTCAAAAACTCACTCAAACCCTCGTTACGCCCGAAAGCCCTCTCAAATCAAAGCCCTGAACCCTAAACCCTCTCAAATCAAATTTACGCTGCTCTCGCCTGCTGCCTCTGTGATGGGAAGAGGATCACGCAGCTGGAACCATCCTTGGTCTCCTGGACATGCTATGCTTCAGGGTTAAGGGTTTAGGGTTTAGGGTGTAGGGTTTAGGGTGTAGGGGCTTCAAGAAGACAAAAGGGATATTGGGATGTTGCCATGGATATATCGAGCAACATGCAAGGACCATGATGATTGGAATAGGGATTGGAGGTAGCAAATGGTGTGTCTGTATATATATATATATATATATATATATATATATATATTATATACATGCATGCATGCATGCACGCACGCACGCACGCACGCACGCACGCACGCACGCACGCACGCAGGGATGGATGGATGGATGGATGGATGGGTGGGTGGGTGGATGGATGGATGGATGGATGGATGGGTGGATGGATGGATGGATGGATGGATGGATGGAAGGATGGATGGATGTATGTATGCATGTATGTATGTATGTATGTTTGTATGTATATATGTATACACATATATATAATAACACACACATATATCAAATAACATATACAGGGTGCAGACGGATCAGTAACTGTTCCGACCTCTATATGAGGCTTTGTGCTTTGTGATGTTCGGCCTTAGGGGTGCAAGATGGTCCAGTTCAAGTTTAGGGTCTAGGATAGAAGGGGCCCCCACCCTGTAATGGTGACTATAAGGATTATATTAAGGCCCTATTATACGCCTATTATACTACTATTACAGGGTGGGGGCCCCTTCTAAGGTCTAGGGCAGTTGGCGGAAAGATTCTTGGAGGCCCCAAAAGGTGGGAGGAAGGCAGGTAGGATTGAGGATCCACTATATAGGGACTCTTATTTGGGAATTACCCCACCTACCTTCATCCTACCTTTGGCGGAAAGATTCTCAGCTCATCGTTAGCGTTGGCAGCACGTGACTAAGGAGTCGCTCTCGTTTTATATGGGAGTTTCCGAAAATTAGGGGTCCCTTATTATGGGGTCCTTATAATACGGATCCTACTAGGATCCTACTATTTTGGATACTATAGTAGGGTCCCCTATTTTCGGAAAACCCCATATACAAACCGCGCTGCACTTCCCATGCCTTCCCCTTTTTGGGTCCTTAATATATTCCAGCACCTAATATTTAGGGTACCAAAAAAGGGACCATACTTTTGACAACTAGCATCATCATCAGCATCATCCTAAACCCTAAGCCCTGCGACTCTTGGAACCCTGAACTCCTCGTAGCCCTCGGCGGCAAAAACGGGCTGCTGCCGGACATCATGGTAAACCTGTGGCCAATTCGAACAAGCTGGCGTACTGTAGTATACGCTTTTACTATCTGTAACATACTATAAGATAGCGCAAACCCTTCTTTTTGTTGGTTCTCGCAAAAAAAAAACCTAAAAATGTAACTTATAGGGACCCTAGGTTAAGGCTAAGGTACTGTATCATGTTGGAGAGACCACGGCCTCGGGGCCTTGGAGACACGGCCTGTTGGTTTCACTCGGCTTCTCGTAGTTTGCGGCGCTTGGGATTTGGACCTTGAACCTGGATTTTTTTTGGAGGAGGAGGGGGGGGGGGCATGGGATATCCTAAACCCTAAGAACCCCGAACCCCGGAACCCGAGGATTCAGAGGCGAGGGCCTCGTTTGCGGGAATTCCTGTGCAGGAGCAGTTCAAGGGACCTGGCTCTGATCCAGAACTAGGATACCCAGTAACCTAAGAATAAAAAGGCCTCTCTTTGTGGTATTGGGTAACTTTATAAGGAACCTAGGACTGCAAAAAAGGGAATAAGGGTACTGCTGGGCATCCTAGAGAAAGACCTTCCAAACTCTTTTGGTTCAGGCATATGGTAGTTTCCGAAAATGGGGGGTACCTTATTTTGGGGTCTTTATAACAAGGATCCTACTACAGAGGGTACTAGATCAGGGTCCCCTGTTTTCGGAAACTCCCATATATGCCTTAAATCATAATAGGCATCTTGCTGCTATACTTGAGGGCTGCTATAACTTGAGGTATATTATGTATTCCTGACTTAAGAGGTTTTTGGAAGGTCTGGGAAGAAAGACGCTGGACAGGTTCATTCAGCCCGCAACCCCGAGAAAGCCACAAGACCAAAAACCTTCTGTTCCTTCAGGGTTCCTTTGAGGTCCAGGTGTCTGAACTGATGAACTTTGGCAAATGGGGGTTTCCGAGAATAGGGGACCCTAACATGGTACCCTAAATAGTACGACCCTTATTTTAAGGACCCCAAATGTACTCCTAATTTTCGGAGGCTCCCAAATGTTTCAAAGGAAACCTTCAATTCGTCCTTGCCTGAGTCCGAGCCATGGCTTCCGCTGCAGAGAGCTTGTACCTTGGCGGCTTCAGTAGAAGGTTTAGGGGACTCTAGGACTCTTTTTGGGTTTAGGGTACAAGGGGACTCTAAGACTTTAGGGTTTGGGGTTTAGGGGTTTAGGGCGTAGAGGCGTTGTTTAGGGTCTAGGCCTTCATGGCTTAGGCTTCAGGGCTTGGGGAGGCTTGATGTCCGCGGATCAAAAACCTCTACAAACCCCAGGTGGGCCCCGGATTTCTTAGGGCTTCGGAAAAAGCGCTGCGCGCCCATGGCTTGTTTGTTCTCGGGTCTGTGTGTGCGCCCGGGATCATGGTGTGGACTTTCACACTTTGCTGGAGGACTTGCAGGCAAAACTCTTTACCCTAAATCCTGTACCCTAAACCCTTGTGGGAAGTGTCTCGGCAATCTATACCCTAAATCCTATGGTTTGAAGTTGAAGATTGGCCTTGCATCCAGTCTCGAAGCGTTTAAAACCCTCGACTTCCCGAGACTCGCTGAAACTTGTTGAGTTCCTCTGCTTCTCCTGCCTAAGAGCAGCGTCTGAACGGTAGAAAAGCATGATCGTAACAGTAAGAACTAAGAAAAGCAGATCCCCTCATAGTCCCCGTATGAATGCAATCACTATAACATGATATCCCCAAGCCCCATTCTTGTGAGTACAGCCCTTATTCTTCGGGAATCTGTCTGAGCCCGGGACATGCGTCCGAGGAGAATGGCGCAAATGGTTCCTTGGACTTGGGCTTGGGTACTTCATGCTCGGGGTTTACATAGGGAGCCGTATGACTTAGGCTTAGGCTTAGGGCTTAGAGTTTGCGTTAAGGGTCCTGGAGATTCAAAGGCATAGCACAAGCATTGTCATTGTGGGTCTCGACTTTGCCGATTAGGACTAGAATCGAATCTTCTTTGCGTAACGTCCCGGTGAGGAAACCGGCCTTCTCCCGCAGCATCACAATGCAGAACACAGTTCAAGACAGAGAGGCTGTCACCTCATGAGCCCCTACCTGGACCCTGAAGAACCTACCTTTCTAGGGCTCCATAATATGATTTCCTTACATGAATCCTCAAAAAAGTTATTCGAGGTTCAGGTAGTGTCAGAAAAGAAGCGCCCTTCATCAGGACCCAGCGAAACTAAGCAGGACCCAGCGAAACTAAGTTGCCTTAAGTAAGGATCCGCAAGAGGACGCCCTTGTATTCAACTCTCACATGGGTGGTTGTCAAAATTAGGGTCCCTCTTTGGGCACCCTAAATATTAGGTGGCGTATAATAATAGGGACCCAAAAAGGGACCCTAATTTTGACAACCACCCACATGAAAAATTCAGTCAGCTCCTCAAACCCGACCCTGACCACTCAAAGCCTTGTAGGTTCCCAAAGTGACCAGAAACATCAACCCCCAACGGCCGAAGCTTGAACGACCCAAAATTGACCCACCCGCCGGCCTGTGCGCCCATGCCCGCCGCGGCAGTGCACATAGAGGACCTCCAAGTTGGCGGGAGTTTCGGGGCAGCGTTCAGGGATTGGGGTGATGGGATTCAGGGTTTACAGGTGCTGAGAACCAGGAGAGTAGAGAAGAGCTCTAAAGAAAGACAGGCCATAGCGATGATTTTCGTCGTTGTTGTGCGTCCCTTTGGCAAAAACCGGGATCTACTGATCGTGAGAGGCCTCGCCGCCAGCTAGGCGCTCAAGCAGCTGCGAGACCTGCGATGACGGGAAGAACGTCAAGGGTTTTCTATACTCCCCGTAGAACCATAACAACAATAATATGTTTAATATTCTCTTGGGGTTTACATGAACAAAATCAAAAAATAATTCCTAAGGAGACCATCGTTTTGTGCAGAATTAGGGCACCAAAGTGTGGTGGGGTAGAGCGCCCAGCTGGGGCTTATGGGAAATAGCGGATTACTGGATTCAGGATACTACTACAATCGGGTTGTTCATCAAACCCTACACCATAAACCCGACCAGTGACCCACTATGGGCAACTGGGCTCCAACGGCAACATAATATTGTGGTTGCACGTCGAGGAATCGAGCCTCTGAAACCCGACTGTAGGGTTTTCGGGTTTGGGGTTTTATAAACACAATATGCCGACATACATCCTGAAACGCCCTAGACGCTGAACCCTGAGCACCTAGAACCTTAAATCCACCAACTCAAACCCATACCAACAAAAACCCAAAAACCTTCAATCGGATGTACTAGCCAAAAACGCAAAGCATGGTTTGGGGTCCCACTTTGGAACTAAACGCAAGTACAGCAATTGAAGTTTAGGGCTATGAGGACGATAATATAGGACCCTGCTTTGCGGCCCTGCAGCCAACTCTTCGACCATGGCGTCGTCTGTCACCTGCAAGACAGTCGCCCAGCCGGTTTAGGATTTGTGGTTTGGGGTTTAGGGGTGAGGCTTTGCAGGGACGAGCATATCGGGGCTTTTTATACTTTTGGCTGTTGGCCGAAAGGGAAGGGGGGAGAGAGCCAGGATAGCGCCAGTGAAAGCTCCCAGGCTAGGGGACGAAGAAGGACCCGAGCTGGAGGGGGAGATCACCGGGGGAGGGGCGCCGGCTGAGCCGGCACCGGTTCATGGTTCTCTTGTTTCAGAGCCTCCTTGCCCGGGACCGGAACCCCAATCACTATGTAAACTCCTGAACCCTCGGCCCTGCTCAAAACAAGCGCCTCTCCTTTTCACCCTTGTAGTAACCCTTTATGGAACCCTGACAGAAGCCTCGTGGAACACTGGCCCTGGAATCCCTATTATGGGTGACCAGGATAGAACTGTAAAAGGTTTAGAGATTAGTTGAAGCCGCTCCCAACAAAATGAACCGCCTAAACCTACTAGTCTAAACCCCAAAATCTAAACGTAAGACCCAAGCCAAAGTTCGAAACCCTAATTAAACCTAAACCCCCAACAGAGCAAAACCTAAACCTTAAAACCTACACCTAGGAACCAAATTAAACTGAACCGTAAAAGCTTCACTGACCCCCCCGTCCGTCACAAAAGAACTAAGCTCCAAAACCTAAACCGAAAAAAACAACTCCCCCCAATACCCTAAACCCCAAAACCCACAACCCTAAAGCCTAAGCCTCAGACCCCCCCCCCCCAACCCTAAACCCCAAAACCTAAACCTAAACGCCCGCCACCCCCCAAAACCCAAAACCCCAAAACCGAAACCCAAAACCCACAAGCCTAACCCTAAGACCCCCCCCCACAAAAACCTAAAACCCAAACCTAAACCTAAAACCGCATCTTTCACAAGGCCTCCTGGTCCGGGATCGGCTGCTCAACGAAGGCCACGCGAGGGTTCAGCGCCTTTGCCTTCCTCGGCGACCACATGCGGCATGCGCGCGTAGGCGTGGTTTAGGGTTTGGGGCTTAGGGTTCCGGAATTTAGGGGTTTAGGGTTTTTGGTTTAGGGTTTAGGGGTTTGGGGCTTAGGGTTCAGGGTTTAGGGGTTTAGGGTTCAGGGGTTTGGGGCTTAGGGTTCGGGGTTTAGGGTTTAGGGTTTTTTGGTTTAGGGTTTATAGGGTTTACGACTGTAAGGTTCACTTAAAGCTTCGCGGTGTGGCAGGCAATCAAAGCTTTGGCTCAAAGTTCTGTGGGAGTTTGGGGTCCACACCCCTGAGGAGGTGAGGATCTCGGTCCAAGGAGTTGGCGTTTATCGGACGCAGCTCGGAGAGTTTAGGGTTTAGGGGTTTAGTGGTTTAGGGGTTTAGGGGTTTAAGGGATATAGGGGTTTAGGGTTTAGTTTTTGTTGTTTTGAACTCCTTTTTGAACTCATTTTCGTACCTGCTGACCTAGGGGCAGACGCAAAAGTTCGGATGACCATCGTGATTAAGAACGAAGGCCTCAACCTGGGCAGACAAGGCTCTTTCTGTAGTCCACTGCAGCTGACGTCTCCTGTCAGCCGTCGCTGAGGGTTTCGAGTTTAGGCGGCTTCAGGGTGCAGGGCCTAGGGTTTATAGGGTTTAGGGCTTTAGGGTTTACGCTTTGGAGGGGGAGGGTTAGGCTTAGGCTTAGGGGTTTTGCTTTTGACATCCTTGGGCCCGCATATATTGCGAGCACCCCCGCCCCCCCCCTCCCCCGAAGCTACAGCACTGCACGACTGATGGTTTGAGCTTCCCTAAACCCCAAACCCTAAAGTTTATAGAAGCCTTGAACCCTAAAGCCTGGACAGTAAACCCTAAGAGAGTAGCACTAACTCCCGGACACTTCGGTCCCAACACCACGCGCTGAAGGCTTCAGAAAATTGGTGCTAGCTTCTGATGCTGTGCAACTCCGCGTGAGCCTGTCTCGTCTGAAGGCACACCACCGTGGTCACGCCGCTTGAGAAGATGGCACGCAGCGACTCCTTTGTACGGCTTTCGGGGGCTTGGGGTCTCGGCGGACACGGATGTTCAAAAGACAGACTGCGGACATGCCCTTCAAGCCAAAGACATCGAAACCCCCCGAACCCACAAACTGAACTGCAGGCTTGAAGACGAAGAAGCCAGGCTCAAGAAAAGCTCAGATCGGCCGTGTCCGCCGAACATCGGGGCTACAGTAAAGCTTTAGGGTTTGAGGTCTGCACCCGGATGCAAAATGGTTCAACTACCTGATCTCACCACACGAGAGCTGTTCAGCAACAGCTATCGCAAGAAAGGAACCCTAAACCACCACTAGAAGAACAATACTCTCAAGGCCCTACCCCCCATTCCCAATGTCCAGATGCTGCAAACTAAATCCCAAAGCCAAGAATTAATCCATCTCTTAAAATGTGAAACACCCAAACCCCCTTCTGAGGGCTCATGTAGGGCAGATGAACGGCAAAGCGTTTGGAATCTGGGTTTTAGGGTTTCTGATGGGAGGCCAAAGGTGGGGTTTAAGATTCTTGGGGTAGGGATTCCTGAGTATGAACCCTATTATGGGAACCCTAATCCCTACTAAACCCCCATAGGCTAAAACCCCTTTTGGCCTCCTATGGGTTTCGAGCTTTGGGTTCCAGAGCCGGTATCTGCAAACCGCACATGTCCTCGGAATCGAGGCTGCTGCGGTCACCAGCCATGAGCCTCCAAAGGGAATGGCGGCTTCGAGGGGGGTTCGGCCTAATCAAGACTCTAAGACCTAAAAATCTGAGCCCTAAAACCTGAAATCCAAACCCGTTCTATGTTCTATATTAAGGCATACAACAACCCTTGTAATTACCCCTGTAGGAACTCTTATAGTGCCCTTGTAGATCCTTCTTGAGGGGACCCCACCTGCCAGGGACCATCCAGTTCGAGCGCTTCGTCGGCCCGCGGTGGCTGGCAACCAGGTCGCTGCGCTTGGCATCCTTACCGCTTCTGCTTGGGGGGTTTAGGGTTTAGGGGTTTAGGGTTCAGAGGCTTAGCTTGGTGTTAAGGCGAACTGTGTATGGTGATGGTTTAGGCTTTTCTTTCTTTCGGGTGGCTTTGCAACGTCTGAAATCTCATACCTTGCGACTTGGGATTTCGGAACTCGGCTCGAACTTCCCGTGGCACCGAAACCCCAAACCCGAAAGTCGCCCCAAACCCGAAAGTCGGCTGAGGCCGTGACACCCTGAAAGATCTGAACTCCCAAGCCATCGTGCCTCAACTAACCAGTGGTTTAGGGGTTCCATGGGCTCTTTAGCTCCTTATTCGATAGGGATTATCATCATCCCTGGCTCCTTAGCTCCTCCAATATCAAAGGTTAGTCAATCCTTGTCAGGGCTTGGGGTTTAAGGGCTTCTTTGGGGGGGTTGAGGATTAAAGGGCTTAGGGTTCAGACCCATAAACCGCAAACCTCTAAGTCTAAACGCCGAAACCCCTGCATCCGCGTTCCCCATACCCCCCAATCATGAAACCCCACAACCTCCTGATACTGAAACCCCTCAATTCGAAACGCTGAGATCCTAAAACCTACCTTAACCTACCAAACCCACTTTTTTGTAGGTTCTTAGTACAAAAACTCTGATCTGGACTTTCTTTTTCGCCCTACAAAAAAGTAGGTTCTGGTAGGTTAAGGTAACAAAGGGGCCTTAATAATTAGAATGGGGTGAGAGTCTTGGGGTATTCTATTACTATAAGTATAATAAGAAACCCCCACAATAGTATCGGTAATTCTTTCCCCTATATTCCAAGGGTAAAAGGAGGGACCCTTAATAAGGACCCCTAGGTATATACCCTTAATATAGCTAATATACACCCATTATATCGCCCATTATAGGGTAGGGGTCCCCGTTAAGGGTCCCTCCTTTTCCCCTGTGATATATTGATAACCCTTGTAGTATCCCTAAAAGACCCCTTAAAGGATCCCTTTAAAGGAAACCCCGAAATAGTATGGGTAGGTTAAGGTAGACACCCTAACCCCTAGGTATATAATTATGTAGCCCATTATCGGGTAGGGGTCCCCGTTAAGGGTCCCTCCTTTTCCCATTGGATATATTGATAACCCGAAAACCTACATCCCTAAACCCTAAACCCTAAACTCTGAACCGACGGAGCCTTCGGCGGCAGCTGCGGTAGCTCCATGGCCGCTTGCTGCGCACTCCGCAGGAGCTGAGAAAGGTTGCGAAAGACGAGAGGCCGAAGATCTCAGGGTGTGGGGTGTTTTTATAGGGCTATAAACAGACATACATACATACGCATACATAAATATGTGTGTGTGTATGTGTATATATGTATATATATATATATATATATATATATATATATATATTTATACATCTATATATATATATACACAGATTTATGTATTTGTACTTGTATTTCTCTTGTGTCTTTAAATGTGGAGCTGTAAGTTTTTGTTTTCCATGGTTTCGGCTTAGAAGATCTCAAAGTTTACTCACTGGATGGATCCTGAGATCCTGCAACAACCCAGGAACCTGAATCCTAAGCCCTGACCCAACAGCCTTTGACCCCTCGCGCCGGCGAGGAAAGACGGGGAGGACTCCACCAAGCTCTCTGAGCCAACTGAGCCAAGGTTTGCGTGGCCAAATGAAGCGCGTCTGGCTTTGGGTATACGTTCGCACATAGATGCATATATATATATATATATATAAGCACATAGGTATTTAGATACGGTACATCACATCCGGGTTGCATTACATTCGCAGACCCACCTAGCTACTGCCTACCTACCTGCCCACAGACTTACGTGTAGACGATGGTCGAGAGTCTTAGGCTGGTTTCGCTCTCCCCGGAACGGAAAACAAGAACCTCAATACTATAGGGGAATATCCATACGGGAGTTTCCGAAATCGGGGGTACCTTATTTTGGGGTCCTTAAAATAAGGATCCTACTATTTAAGGTACTACATTAGGGTCTCCTATTTTCGGAAACTCCCATATCCATATTGATTGTTCAAGCCTCTGTAGCAACCGCCCGTTTTGGGGATGTCCAAGGGTCGGGGTTTACTCGGGCTGCTAAAGGTTTGCCTGTGTCTGGTGCCATGTGGGCACTGATCTAACAAGGACTGTCTGCAGCGATGGGCTTAAGGCCTTGTGTTTTACTTTAGGGGCCTTAATAATTAGAATAGGGTCTGGGGGGATCTTGCAACACGTTCTGGGGGCGAACGCGCGCTCATGCCACTAATTGAGGGGCCTTAATAATTAGAATATCGTTTGTGGGGCCCATTATGCTATACATACAATAAGGAACCCCAAAATAGTCTTAAGCAATTATGAGTTCAGGCCCCTATACTAAACCCTTATGGGATCCCTTAAAGGAGCCCTTTAAAGGAACCCTTAGGGAATTCTTAAAGACCCAGCAACCCAAGCGTGGCCCTACCAGGGCTTAAGCGGCGGCCGCTTGGCAAAGGCCACGTTGGTAGGCAACGGACCTCTCTCCGTGAGGCTGCGACTAATGGAACCTTGGGCCTAGGGGTTCCTTTAACGGGGTCTATAAGGGTTACTTTGAGGGATCGATAAGGGTACTTATAATGTGGGAACCTGATTATGAAACCTTGAACCTTTATTGGGGCTCCTTATATGAATCCTACTATTTTGGGGTTATAGGCCCTGGCTGTTTCATGAGGTTCCTACATCAGGGCAAGAGGTCTTCGTTTTTATGTCAAGGTTTAGAGTAAAGGGCTGAGAGTTCGGGCATGTTATGGTACTGGCAAGGTCACCTGCTCAACCCTCACCCCGTGCGCTCATTAGACTAGGGTTTGGGCTCCCTTATAGTATGATTGTCATGAGGAGGCCAAGGAACCTGTTTGGTAGTTAATTCGAATTTATGCTTCTACATTATCATATCCAGGAATGAAGAGTTGCTGGCTCGGCAGACAGGGTTTCGTGCCCCGACGCTGGGCATCCGGAACAGCCTACTACCTCATCGCGACACGGTCTTGTCTTTATTATTGCTCCTGTTTCCCCTAAGCCCCGGCCCCTGAACTCTAAACCCTAAATCCTAAATCCTACACCATAAATCCTAAATCCTACACCATAAATCCTAAATCCTACACCATAGATCCTAAACCCCACACCTTACGGCGCCACACACTGAGACGTCTGATCCAATCCCGGAACCTGAAGCCTGTAGAGGCCCGCAGCTCAGAACCCTAAACTTTTCCAGTGCAGAGAGTGGCGTCTTTTAAGAGTTTCACTGAGAGTTTGGGGTTTAGGAAATTAGGGGGCTTATGCGGCTGATGGGATGGTTTTTCTACATGGCTTAGAAGTTCAGGGCCGAAGGCATCAAAGTCAGGCTCCTACTATCCCAACAATCACCCGCAGCCCTAGCCCGGTATAATCACAAACTGCCAAGACCCTAAGCCATAAACCTTGAATCCTAAACCCTGAGCGCTGGAATCTGCCGGTGCCTGCCGCCAGAGGAACTGCAGGTGCCTCAGAGACGACGCAAAGTCGAGGACCTACGCCCTTAAAATAGTATAGGTGCTTAGTAAGGCTCTATAGTAGACCGCGATTCTTGAGCCCTAAACCCTGATGGAACTGCCATGCAATATCAACCCTATAGCTGTAACCCAGTAACGTCGTGCAATAACCAAAAACCGAAACCCCTAAACCCTAAACTCTTTCGTATAAAACCGAAACTTCTGCGGCACGGCGGCCCCGTCGCCACGAGCAACAAGTTCGGCCCAGGATGGCTTGGACCTCGGCAGAAGCGCATAATACAGAGGCCGTAATAATTACCTATACTATTTGGGGGATTCCGTAATATAATCTAATTATAGTATAATGAGCCCCAAAACCCTATTCCAGTTATGAAGGCTCCTGTATTATCTAAGGGCACCTCTGCCCTGGTGATAGGGTCTGGGATCTTTGGAGGGCTCCTTTAAGGGATCTCTAGGGTTACAATAAGGGTTTAACTATAAGGGTTTAGAGTTTGAGGCTTAGGGGTCTACGGGGTGTTTTTGAGCATCATTTGGGGCTTAGGGGTTTATGAGGTGGTTTTGAGCATCAGGGCCTAGGGTTGAGGGTCTGGAGGCTAGCCTTTTTCTCAAAGTATGGTGGGCCGTTCACTCCGAAGAACGAGCAGCTCACACACGTTGGAGGCGTCCCCCGACCGGAAACCCTAAACCCTAAACCACTAAACCCTAAACCCTAAACCTAAATCGTCAAGACAAACAAAGGAATCAGGATCTCCGCTCACGACTCGACACGACTTATGGCGACGACCTCAAGGAACTCCCTGTAGGCGGTTCAGGGTTTAGGGCCAGGGCGCTATGGTGTTATGGTGTTACGGTTGCTTGCGGTAAGTGTACTTGGAGGGTCGGGGGACTTAGTAAGTAGGTAGTAAGTAGACTTATAAGTACCCTAAAAGGGACCCTAATTGGGGTTATGGTCCTGGTACTTATAAGTCCCTAAAATAACCAGTTACTAAGTCCCCCGACCCTCCAAGTACAGTAGCGGAACAGTCGGTCTCCTTTAAGTTCCTAAAATTGCCCTACACCTCCAGGCAGCTCAGGCCACAACCCCACCCCAAAACCTTGAGCGCCAAACCCACGAGCCCTCATAGAACCTCTACGGAACCCTGAAAAATCTTAAAAATGTGAACCCCGGCCGACATGTTACAAAACCTTTATAGATCCCTCATAAACTCGTAATCCCCAAGCAAGAAACCCTCGATTCCGGATTGGAGCCCTAAACCCGAAACCCTCATAAATAAACCCTAAAACCATCTAAAACCCTAAACCCGGATCCCTAAATCCTGATCCCTAAACCCCTAATCCCTACACCCTAAACCCTAAAACCCTAAACCCGGATCCCTAAATCCTAAAGGCCCTAAATCCCGGATTGGGGCCTGACGCCTCAGGCAGAAAGCAACAAGGCTCCCGACTCCTCCGTCTGGGCTTTCGATGCTGCCGATGCCTGCGCTTAGGGCTTTAGGGCTTTAGGGTTTTAGGGTTTAGGGTTTAGGGTTTAGGGCTTTAGGGTTTTAGGGTTTAGGGTTTAGGGTTTAGGGTTTAGGGTTTAGGGTTTAGGGCTTTAGGGTTTTAGGGTTTTAGGGTTTTAGGGTTTTAGGGTTTTAAGGCTTCAGGGTCTGAGGATTCGGGCTTCAGCCTTGGACTTTCGGGTGTAGGGTGATGCTCTAGGCTGGACCTCTTGGGGTAGAGGGCTTAGGATGGTCTCAAGCATATACTAGGGTACCCAGTAACCCAAGAATAAAAAGGCCTCTCTTTTTGGTATTGGGTAACTTTATAAGGAACCTAGGACTACGAAAAGGGAATCAGGGTACTACTGGGCATCCTAGTATAGTTCCTGCATTGCGCTTTGGGGTCTCTGCTTCCGAGATCTTCTGTCTTTCACCCCCCAAACATACCAAAAAAAAACATACCCCTAAGCCCCAAAGCCCCTAAACCCTAGCCGCATCAAGAAACCCTAAACCAGAAGCACATCTCTGGCCGCAAGTCGCCTCCGGGGTGGCTTGGAGAACCTGACGGACAGGGTTTAGGGTTTAGGGCATACAGGGTTTAGGGGTTTCAGGGGTCTAGGTTTTAGGGTTTGGGACTCCAAACCGGGTGCTGCAGGAACTCAGGTCCACGAGATCACTTTCGTCAGCTGTCGTGGGTCACGGGCAGACAGCAAAACCCCCGAAAACTTAGGAGGTTGCTTGAATCATGGCTCCTCTAGGGATTTGTAGGCCTGCGGGCTTCTTTTGGGATTTAGGTTTTCGGGTTGGTTTGGGTTGTGGCGATCTATCAGGTTGCTTAGGGTTTGAGGTTTAGAGTTTGGGGACGTTTTGGATTTGGGGGTCAAGGTTCGGCGATTGAACTGGCGGTGCAGCCTTTGAAGAGACCATCAAACGCACCTAAACACAAAGCATGGGTTTTGATATCCCCTCTTTACGTGAGCCAATAAGGTTTCTGAAGCTAAGTCGAGCGTCTCGATCCCTGCACTCGAAGCTTAAACCCCAAAGGAACTTAAACCTCACCCGCGAAGGAGCCAAGTATAGTATAGGGCCTCAAGACTAAAGAGTGTTCACCTATAGTCCCAAATCCGTAACTACAGCATAGCGTACCATAGCACCCGCCGTTATCGTCAATCCCAGACGGACGAAATCCTCAACCCTAAGCCCCTAAACCCTGAAAGCCGGATAGAGGTCGCCTGGCCATGCAAGAGGTGCGAAGGCAAGGGGACGGATTGGGCCAGTTCACCTGTCTCGGTCAACATCTTCCAGATTTGGGTTTAGGGCGGCACTGCATGAAGAGTTGCAGCAATGCAGCAATAGAGATGAGTGAGCCGTGCATCATTTAGTGCCCTAAACTCTGCCGGAGGGACCGTCGTCGCCACCTTTCAGCGGCAGAGCTTCTCAGAAGGTGGTCTCTCTTAGTGCCTGGTTTCCGAAAACCTCAGCATCCCCGAACTAGGGGTCACTGGAGCTAGGGGATATCATGATAGCAACAAGCATCAACATGGTCGAAATTCATAGCTTTGTTTGCAACATTTAAGCAGGACTTCTCGCCTCACTTGAGGGATGATGCACTCCCAGGGAGCCTAAAGCACTGCAAGGTTCGCAGGGGTCAGCGACCACGTCTTCCCAGCTTCTTGCAATGACAGTTTAGGGCGTTTTAGGAACCTAAAGATGTACCACCCAAAAGGTTGCCATAAGTAAGGGCTTCTACAATAAACCCGAAACCCTAAAACCCCTTAAACCCTAAAGTAAAGGCTGATAACCTTGGCGGCACTAGGGTCCTAGAATAGGGCCCCAAAAAAGCACATAAGCAAAAATTAGGATAGGGATATCCCATATACACCTCCTTATAATGAAGCCCAATAAGGTAGGTATATCCCCATAAAATGCTTATGCTTATGTGCTTTCTGGGTCCCGAATAGAAGGGCTCAAGAGCGCCGGGTCCTTTCGCACAACACTGCTTTGCAATTCAAGTCTTCGGCTTCGTGGCCGCTCTGAGCGAGTCTGCAGGCCGAGGGTTCAGGGTTTAGGGTGTATACAGGGTTTATTTTTAGGGTTTAGGGTTCAGAGTTTAGACCCTAAACCCTAAACCCTAAACCCCAACTCGTTTGAACCTCGAGCACCCCCAGAACATATCAAGGGCAAACGCATAAAACCAGGATTCCCAGAGACTCCAAAACCCCTTAATTAAGGAATATACCTTAAATTATTATAGGAGCCCTAATATGATGTTAAGGTCTATTCCTTAATTAAGGGATATTAGAATCCCCTATCTCCTCAACCCTATAGCTCCCTTTAAGGATCCCTTTCAAGGGTTCTATTCCTTAATTAAGGGGTTTTGGAGGTTCTGGGTTTCCGGTCGAAGCTCCTAGTCAAAAGCTGCGGCGACTCCAACGCGACGATCGCAGCTGCGTCCCCCCCACGACCCCCTAAATCCGAAACCCCAAACCTTAAAGCTAAACTCCAAATCCCAATGATCCCGGTATATATATATATATATATATATATAACGGTTTAGGGTTTAGGGTTTAGGGCTTAATAATTACCTATTATACTGCTTTGTTGGGTTCCTGATTACGATTAATTACAGGATAATCATGGGCCCCAAAACCCATTAAAGCCCCCTATACTATTTTGGGGGTTCCTTATTGCAGAGTATAATGGGCCCCAAAAACCTATTCTCATCATTAAAGCCCCCTTTAGTATAAGCAATGCCGACTGCCGACCTCCAATGTCTGCTGCCTTCCTCTGCACCTGAACTGGCTGCCTGTCCTGCGCTCTTGCGCTTTGGTGCTTAAGGGCTTCGGGGCTTTTGGTTTAAGGTTTCGGGTCTGTAAAGTCCAGGGTTTAGGGATTAAGGTCTAGAGTCTAGTCCAGGCGTGTCAGGTGTAGGATTCACGGACAGCAGTGCGACCTATGAAGTTGTGCTTCCTGTGCGATGGGATACTTGTTGCACTTCTGGTGATCATGGCAGCAGGAGGGTGAACATGCTTACCACTCTCTTCCGTCCGCCTTACTTCTGCTACTACGGGCCCTGCTGCTCATGCTGCTCAGGCTGCTGCTGCTGGTAGTGTGAAGAAGATTGAAGAAGTAGCTCTCGACCCTACGCCCGAAACCCTGAAGCCTAATCAACAAGCCCCAAACGCAGGCTTTAAACCCCCAACACAAACACCAAAGACTAACCTTAACCTCGTCAAGCAGCGACTCGGACGTAATCTGACTACAATAAAGTGGCCTTCATAACTAGAATCTAGAACAAGGTTTCGGGGCCCATTATGCTATTTTGAATAATCAGGAGCCCCCAAAATAGTGGCCCCCTCAGGGTCAGGGAACAGAAACTAGCAAAACGTGTAAAGCCTGACTTCTTCTGGATCCTCTTCGTCCAGCTCCGTGCAAATGACGGACAGCGTACGTGCCTTTCTCGAATGATGGCTCGGTGCGGTTCTGCAAGGTTTGTATCAGGCTTAATATAAGGTACCCTAGACCCTAAACCGTACCACGGATACCCTAAACCCTAAACGGTTTAGGGTTTAGCGTTTTACAAGGCTTTGAATACCCCGCACCATCTTCCCTACATCTTACACGGAAAGTCTAAGCTGAACCCGAACCCTAGGTACCCTTCTAGTGCCCTCAATCAAACTCTTCAAGTTAAAGGTACCGGAAGAGCCAGGCTCATAGTCAGAAGCAACACTGTCGAACGGAGTCGCAACCCCCAACCTGCACTAGGGCAGGTAAGATGAAGGGCTTGGCAGTCTTCGCTGCAGGATGCTCCCTAAACCCTAAACCCTAACCCAAAAAACCTAAACCCTAAACCGTAAACTGCAGGCCCTACGAGCTGCATAACGGCTCTACGCAGATAGACAAAAATTGTTTAAAGACACCGCAAGCTCTGAGGCCTTCGTCGTTCACTCTAAACAGCCGGCCAAGTCGCCATGGAAGTCGCCAAAACCCTCTTCACCTTTTAGGGTTTAGGGTTTAGGGCTTAGGATTTAGGAAACCCTAAGCCCTGAAAGCCCGAGGCTCGAAACAGAGACCAGAGAAGCCTTAGACGTAACGAGACTGGGGCTTTGGAGGTGCTTTGTGGTACTGGTATATGCGGACGATAGACCTGATGGTAATATGGGGCCCTTAATAATTAGAATAGGGTTTTGGGGGCCCATTATACGACACGTGTAATAAGGAAGCCCCGTAATAGTAAGGTAATTATTTCGGCCTCTATAGTATGGCCCCAAGTCGCTCCGACTCAGGATCGTCTTCTGAGCCCGGAGCAGGGATACGCGTCTCATTCACCTTGAGCAACGTCATGGTGGCCTCTCCACTAGGGCGCACAAAATCACTGGGATGGAATCCCAAGTAGGATGCAAACAACAGGAAAAAGTCTGGGAAAGGGGACCCCTGAACATGCGGTGAGTTTGAAGAAGGCAGCACTTGACGGTGGTGGTGGTCGTAGCAGTAGTCGTCGTAGTAGTCGTAGTAGTCGTAGTGGTCGTAGTGGTCGTAGTAGTCGTAGTAGTCGTAGTAGTCGTAGTCGTAGTCGTAGTCGAAGTCGTAGTAGTAGTAGTAGTAGTAGTAGTAGTAGTAGTAGTAGTAGTCGTCGTCGTCGTCGTCGTTACAGTCGTAGTAGTAGTAGTAGTAGTAGTAGTAGTAGTAGTAGTAGTAGTAGTAGTAGTAGTAGTAGTAGTAGTAGTAGTAGTAGTAGTAGTAGTAGTAGTAGTAGTAGTAGTAGTAGTAGTAGTAGTAGTAGTAGTAGTAGTAGCAGTAGCAGTAGCAGTAGTAGTAGTAGTAGTAGTAGTAGTAGTAGTAGCAGTAGCAGTAGCAGTAGCAGTAGCAGTAGCAGTAGCAGTAGTAGTAGTAGTAGTAGTAGAAGTAGTCGTAGTAGTAGTACTAGTAGTAGTAGTAGTAGTAGTAGTAGTAGTAGTAGTAGTAGTAGTAGTCGTCGTCGTAGTAGTAGTACTAGTAGTAGTAGTAGTACTAATAGTAGTCGGAGCAGGAGTAGGAGTAGCAGGAGTAGCAGGAGTAGTAGGATGAGTCGGAGTAGGAGTAGAAGTAGCAGTAGGAGTAGGAAGTAGGAGTAGCAGTAGCAGTAGCAGCATCAGTAGCAGTAGCAGAAGCAGTAGCAGCAGCAGCAGTGGCAGTGGCAGTAGCAGTAGCAGTAGGAGCAGCAGTAGCAGCAGTGGCCGTCGTCGTCGTTGTTGTTGCTGTTGCTGTTGTTGTCGTTATTGCTGGTGGTGGTTTTGTAGATGTTGTTATTTTTGGCGTTCTTGGTGGTGCTGTTGGTGCTGTTGGTGTTGCGCTTGCTGTTGCTGTTGCTGTTGATGATGATGGTGTTGTTGTTGTTGATGGTGGTGGTGGGGGGTGCTGCTGCTGCTGTTGCTGCTGCTGCTGTTGTGGCAAGAAGACGATGATGATGATGCCGGTGATGACAACGATGACGACATCCATGTTCATCAGGATGGTGTCGGCGGGCATCATGATGATAATGACCATGAAGAAGATGATGAGGAGGAGGATGATGATCATGATGAAGACGATGATGACAAGAATGGTGTTCCAAAAAGGATATGGAACCGGTCGTTGCGACTAGCAACAATCGTCACCATCCGTTTCTGCGTCACTTTGCCAGCTTCCTTCTCATCCTCATCACGATCATTATGACGATACTGATCATGTTGAGGGGGTTGGCTGGGAGGTCCATGCTTTCAGGGTTACAGGATTTGTAGGTGACGGGGTCTGGGGGTTGAGGGTTGAAGATGAAGGTGCCTGATGACTGCACTACGAACACCTCAACGCTACCTACGTTTGTGGAGACTTATGGAGACTTCATACAAAACGAATTCAATAATGGGGCTTTCTGAGTACAAGTATGTCGTCGCTTACCTTCTGGTCGAGAGCTTCTTGGCTGTAGCCTTCCAGAAAATGCAGGAATGCTTTAGACAACGCAGAGTCCCTCGAGAGCGCAACCCTCGCAATAATGCTATGGCGCACACAGGTGCATACTGACTATAAGGGAATACTTGCAGCAACAATTCAAAACCGCATATTAAGATGGCGTTCAGGCAATGGGGCTCCAGGCTACGGTCACATGGCTCGACGACTCCAAGACGTTGCCCAAGCAGCTTTCAGCACAAGCCCCAAGCAATTCCTCCCACCTTCTTCTCCTCGCCCTCCTCCTTGTCCACATTCCTGACATGGAAGTCGTGGCTCCAGACGCAACTTTAAGGGCGTACAGGTGAAGCCAGGAAGTTGGAACGTCATTGATCCTCATGCAAAGTACTGCATGGAGAACCGCAGCACTGGGCATCTGAAAAGCCTTAGGGAACGGAACAGGCATTCACTGCACATCCCTAATGTGGGTAGTTGTCAAAATTGGGGTCCCGTTTCGGGTACCCTGAATATTAGGTGCCGTATTCTGATAAGGACCCAAAAAAGGACCATAATTTTGACAACCACCCATGTGTTCAAGGATCCGGCTGAGCAACGAGGTTATCGGTAGCATTGTCAGAGACTCCCAGTGAGGGTATAAACATATGCACTTCCAACCTACTATTCAGTTCCTTAGGCTGTAATGTCCTAAACCCAAACCCCTCCCCTCCCCTCCCCTCCCTGCAGGGCTTAGGATTTAGCACGTAGTTCAGGGTCTAGGATTTAAGTCTAGGGTCAAGGACGTAGAGGTCCAGGATGTTGTTTTAGCGCTTCCTGTCTAGGACTCCGCGTCTAGGGTTTCAGGTCCAGGATTTCGGGGTTCGGATCGGCTGTTCAAGGCTATTCCCTTGAGCCCAATGCCTGTGGAGACCAAAGTAGTCTGCCACCATGTGCACCTGGCGGTTTTTCGAGCTGGAGCACTTGAAAGTATCTCTGCAGGGTGCAGGAGGTACTGCTTCGAAACAAAGGTCTAGGAGGTTGTTTGTTTGCAAATCTGTGTAGAAGCATGAACAAAAGGTGGCTTTGGGGCACCCCTAAACCTGGATCGTGTCTGTGCATCCAAACTGTTGCCCAGCGAGATCTACATATAATCAATCTCTTACGCCTTCCTGCAAAACTCATGCAGCCCTGGACAATCATAAAAGACGCTAGAAAGGACCCTGCTATAAAGGTCCCCACGGTGGGGGCCTCAAGTATTAAAATAGGGTTTCGGTGTAACTTATACTGTAACGAGAAAAGAACTCCGAATTCGTATTGGTTATCTATTTGGGCCCCCATGGTGCTAAACCACTCTGGAGAGTTCCTGTGATCTCTGAGACTCGTTCCAGCTTGCGCAGCTTGGGTGGCAGCGGCGTGGAAAGGCGAATGCGCTCAATCCTGGGCTTCATTTTAGAGTTTGGTTTGCGTACCGTTTCACCTGAGCTTCTCCAGCGCCAGTAAACTCATCACTTTAAAGGTTTAGGAGTCAAGGCTTAGGGTAAACTGGGCTCCATTTTGGAGCTGTCTTTTTTGATGGCCTTTTGCCGTGGCTTCTTCAACGCCAGTAACTTCATCACTTTAAAGGTTTAGTAGTCAGGGTTGAGGGTGTACGGGTTTCGAGTCTGGGATGCTGGTGTGGGGATTTCGCGGTCAGGGGGTACCAAAAATAGTCTTAGGGCTTTTGGTGCTGCGGGAAGTGATCAGGGTTTCGTACAGGCGGAGGACTGGAGACCCCAGGCGGCTATTGTAACTCAAAGGGGAAAAGGAGGGACCCTTAATGGGGACCCCTACCCTATAATGGGCGATATAATGGGTATATAATGGCTATATTAAGGGTATAAACCTAGGGGTCCTTATTAAGGGTCCCTCCTTTTCCCCTTTGAGCAACGCTTTGTTTGAATTCACAGGGGCTTCTGCCGTTCCACGTACAATGGGGACGTGTTTAATCCTCTTGTGGATCTTGCGGCTATCGGAGTTTTACAGGATTGTTTCAGGGTTTATACAGGGTAGAGAGTTCAGGGTGTAGAGTAGTACAGTCATGCATAACTCTGAACCGCAACCACAACCTACCGAAGACAGTGATAATTATAACCGTGTGTAATCATTTGGACCCTATACCCCCCATGATACCCCTTATAGCAATCCTTATAGACCCCTTTAGAGGAACCCTTAAAGGAACCCTAGGTAACTATTTAGACCCCCAGCATCTTCATGAAGCTGCAGAAAAGATCTGGCCCTGGGGCCGCGGCTGGCCGCTCTGCAAGTTGTTGATGATGTGACCTACGGTTTAGGGTGTAGGCTTTAGGGTGTAGGGTTTAGGGTTTAGGGCTTAGGGTTTAGGGCTTAGGGTTTAGGGCTTAGGGTTTAGGGCTTGGGCTTTAGGGTGTAGGGTTTAGGGTTTAGGGCTTAAGGTTTAGGGCTTAGGGTTTAGGGCTTAGGATTTAGGCTTCTGGGTGTCACAGTTTCCATCAGGATGTATCGTCTCTCGTTCATGGTCTCGGGTTAAAGCTAGGGCTTTACCTTAACCGTGAACCCTAAACAGTAAAGCCCGAGCATGAAACTGTAAAATTTACCCCCAAACGTTGAACCCCATCAGATGAACCTTAACCCCCACTCCAAAACACTTAGCCTAACACCCAAATCCTGCACTGCACTATACTACACGACTATCCTAAGCAACTTGCTATGCCATGCTATACGATATGATGCGATGCTATACTATACTATACCATGCTGTACGACTCATAATATGCTGTAATATACGATGATATGGGTGGTTGTCAAATTATGGTCCCATTTTGGTACCCAAAAATAGGTGCCGTATTATAATAGGGACCCAAAAGGGGACCCTAATTTTGACAATCACCCATATGTTGAACTATGCTACAAAGAGCTCAGCACTGCAGCGCTGGAGCTCCGTAGCGTGCCCTCTTGGTAAAGGTTCTTTTCTGGTAGGTATCTACTACCTCTCCAAGGGTAAAAGGAGGGACCCTTAATAAGGACCCCTAGGGATATACCCGTAATATAGCCATTATATACCCATTATGTAGCCCCTTATGTGGTAGTTCTATACTACCTCTTTCAGGGCTCTAGACCGGTCCCCCTAAACCCTGAACCCTACAATTCCCGAAATTCGGAAAACCCTAAAACCCTGAATCCCTACAATCCAACCCCTAATTCCCTCTAAATCCCTTAACCCCTGTTCTTTTTGAGGGTCCGGCTCTCGAGCTTCAGGAGGAAGTTGCGCTCCTTGGGCGACTTCAGCGCCAGCATCACCAGGCCCTCACAGGAGTTTATGCTTCAGAGTTTAGGGGTTTAGGGTGTAGGGTTTCCAAGACCTTAAAGGACTTTACGCTCGAGGGCGTTAGGGGTTCAGAGTTTAGGGGTCTAGCAGCTGGCGGTTTAGGTTTAGCGGCTTACGGCTTGAAGTCAAGGTTTCCCCTAAACACGAAACCTGAAAAATCTGGACGCTAGACCCTAGACCTTCGACCCAGGGCCCAAAACCATCAATCCCTCAACAAGTGCGGCTGGATCTTGTCCCCCCTAAACCCTAAACCCTAAGCCCCTATGGCCCTGATACAGTAGACCTCGGTTTGCTAAGCCTGAGAGATCCTTCAGTGAGCCCTTGTAGTAACCCGTCTAGTAAAGTTAATAGAGCTTAGAAACCCCAAAACCAAAATACAAAAGGGTAATTGTCAAAATTATGGTCCGTTTATGGGGTACCCTAAATAATAGGTGCCGCATTATAATAAGGACCCAAAAAGGGACGTTAGAAGAGCTTGGAACGCCTTAAAACTCACATATGGGTGCTTGTCGAAACTAGGGTCCCTTTTTGGGTCGTTATTATAATACGGCACCTAATATTAAGGGTACCCCAAATAGGGGTCATAATTTTGGCAACCACACATATAGGAACCCACAAATAGAAGCCAGAGCAAGGAACCCTACCTTTACTTCGGCGACAGGTAAACTCTCACCCCTAAGCTAGGCCCTAAACGCCCTAAACGCCCTAAACCAAAAACCCTAAACCCTAAGCTGGGTCCCCGACATCGAGCTCCGGCGGCGCTTCCGGGTGCTCTTCCGGGGCCGGGACTGGCAGCGGAGCCCCCGGAACCCCAAGAGAGTCGGATGTAGGGTGCAGGGATGAAGAGTGAGTTTTGCGCGTTTTGGGGCTTAGGGTAGAGTTTGGGGTGGTGGGAAGAAAAACACAGCAGAAGGATACGGAAGTTGGGGGTAGGCTTACTATAACCTAGGAATTCGGATCGGATCTTATAGCTGGTAGGTTTACGGCTTAGGATTTAGGACTGGGGGTGTCGGACTTCCAGGCTGGGGTTTTGTAAGATTTGGGCTTCGGAATTCGGAGTCTAAGCCGCCCCACCTCAAGCAAAAAACACATGCTTGTTGAGCACCCTTCCCCTTCAGCAGACAGCAAAGCTAGAGGCATAGGCTTAGGGCACAGAGCGTAGGGTGTAGGCCGGTGCTTGGGAATTGGGGTGGCGCATCCTGCTGTTTCCGTGTTCGTGGTTGCTTTTCGGGGGTTCTGGGTCCTAGGGTCTTGGGGCCGGGACTCAAAGCCCTTCACCCAAAACCGAAAATCCGAGTCGTAGAGTCTTGGGGTTGGAGGGTCGACAGTTTCGGGTTTGGGCTTTTGGAATCAGGGTTACAGTAGAAGCCAGAAAGTTGGAATATCATTATCGTAACCCCTTTAAGGCAATTTATAGGGGATCCTACCATTAATCCATATTCCAACTTTCTGGAGTTCCCGTTAAGGGCTTCAAAGCGGTCGTCTGGTTCTATCTGTGCCCCATTAAAGAACCCAAAGCCCTAAACCCCAAAACCCTAAAAACCCTAAACCCTAAACCCTAAACCCTAAACCCTAAACCCTAAACCCTAAACCCTAAACCCTAAACCCTAAACCCTAAGCCCTAAACCCTAAAAACCCTAAACCCTAAACCCTAAACCCTAAACCCTAAAACCCTAAACCCGAAATCTGAAATGGCAAAGGGTGAGCATCCGAGATACGCCATGCAGAGCTCGTGCAATAATATAGGGGCCTTAACAATTAGAATAGGGGGTACTTTAAAGGGCTCTATAGGGAATCTATACTCTAGTAGGGTTCCATTATAGAAGCCTTAACAATTAGAATAGGGTTTTGGGGCCCATAATACTATACTTATCATAAGGAACCCCCCAAATAGTATGAGTAATGCCCTATAGTGATTACACGTTAAAGTCCAGAGATCAAGGCGAGAAGCTGGCGAGCACCCAGCGATCGCCGGGGCTTCAGCTCAGCAAGATGGGAGATTTCGAAACTCCCGAAGCCCAGAGACTCCAAAACCCCCTTAATAAAGGAATATTCCTTAAATTAAAATAATAGGACCCCTAATATGATTTAAGGTATATTCCTTAATTAAGGGGTTTTGGAGGCTCTGGGAAGAGTGCTACGCGTTTGTTCCGGCTGGAGTAGTGGGAGCATCTTTTGTAGGAAATCCTCCAGCTCACTGGATGAAACGCTGTTCGCGAGCTCTTCAAAGGTGGCACCGAAAGCAAATACATCGTTCAGGATTGGTCCGTAGCCGTGTGGGATGCCCTTGCTTCTGGCAAATAGTAAAAGTACATCCCTGGCTTGCGGGTCTCCTGCATGGTTGGAGTAGGGCTTTGGGGGCTTCGAAGCTTCAAAGGCTCTGTGCTTAGGGTTTACGAATAAGGCCGTGCAGGATAGCATGTTACTGTATATTCAGGCGGCTGTGTAAAGCGGTTTTGGGCTTCCGTCAGGGCTTCAAAATTTCAGCTTGAGCCCTAAACCCCACACCTTGGACCCTAAACACTAAACCCTAGACCCTAAACCCGACACCTTAGACCCTACACCCTAAACCCTAAAGCCTAAACCCTAACGGGTTAGGGACTTAGGCCGAAGATTCATTAAAGCTTTTCGCACGGAAGTTCTGCATGGGTCGGGGGTTTAGGGTCTAGGTCTGGGGTTTAAGGTTTAAGGTTTGAGGCTTAAGGGTTATATGGGTACGTTACAGCACGAATCAAGCATTCTAACCTACGCCCCTAAATAAACAAGCAGAAACACAGCCGAAACGAAGCCCTCATTAGAAGAAACCTCCATAAAGGATCCGATGCCAAACCCGGCAAAACCGTACAACTCCAAACCTTCGCAGTAAATCAAGCAAAGCCGAGACCAGACCCCCACCCGGAAACCTGAAATCCGAGAACCCCTACATCATAACACCCACCACGCAGAGCCCAAAATGTAAACGCTACCTCAAGCTACCAGAACTTAGTTCTTTGTAGTAGAGTCTTACGAGTATCATCTTGTCATCATCAACCACCCCAAACCCTTAGTATAGAATCTGTGTGACCCTACACCAGAATATTTCTGGTAGGCAAAATTATGGAGACCCTAAAGCATAAAAGTGCCAAAACTCCAAGGGTAAAAGGACGGACCCTTAATAAGGACCCCTAGGTATATACCCTTGATATAGCCATTATATACCCGTTATATAGCCCATTATAGGGTAGGGGTCCCCATTAAGGGTCCCTCCTTTTCCCCGTTGAAAAACCCCAACACGCCTCCCTTGCCTGGGCTTTGGCTTTCGGCCGAAGCCGCCGGCGCTGCATCTGAAGAGGCCGACGGCTCACCTGAGAGAGGGTGGGCTTCCCTCCAGGGTCCCTATAAGGGGTCGTACGGTTGATGATATAAATCCTGCATTACCTTAAGGACTCTAGACCATGGGATTTATGGTACATTCCTTATTATGGGTAATGCAAGTTTTCTATCACCAACCGTATCATACGGGTTCTGCTAAGGCATCAGCGCCTTGGGGTTCGGGAATCAACTCCGTCGAGCTTCGGGCTTGACTAGCGTGCAAGGGCTCTCGGCTTTCGCTTGCCGGTGCGATGTTCAGTGGGCCTTACAAGGCTTAGGGCATTTCGCAGAACGATATCACCCTCCATAACCCACACTTGCCAGTTGGTTGTATGTGACTTATAAGTAAAATAGTCAATCAGCATATCCCCTCAAGATTCCCCTGTAGACATTTCACCTTTGGGCTTGAGTTTGGTCGTTCGTCGAGGACGAGGACGGAACTTTGGTCGCTCATTGAGGTTTAGGATTTAGGGGTTCAGGGTTTGGGGTTTAGGGTTTAGAGTTTAGTGTTTAGGGTTTAGGGTGTAGGGTTCAGGGTTTAGGATTTAGGGGTTCAGGGTTTGCGATTGGTGGATGTAGAGTTGTCGCAAGGAGCGGCCATGAGCCGCCATACACCATAATCTTGTACCTTCCGGTGCTGTCGGTACCTCACCTACCGTATGAGACCCTACCCCTTTCTTGCAGCTTTGAAGATGCTGAGTATCCTTGCATAATATGACTATACATACACCAAACCCTGCATAAACACGTTAGTATACCACAAACCCCTCTACAACCGCTTAGGAACCCTAAACCCTATGCCTACACCCTAAACCTAACCCTAGACCCTAAACCCCAAACCCTGCGACCTCCTAAGCTCCCCATAACCCGCCCCCCCCCCACCCTCCCCCTCACCCCGCCCCCGCCTCCCCACCCCCCCCCCACCATTGGAGGTTTAGGGTTCAGGGTTTAGGGGGCTACCCTACCCGTTGCTGCCTCTGCCCTCTCCCCCTGTCCCTCCCCCTGCCTTTCGCCCCCAGTCCCTTCCCTCCTGGCCTGCAGGAACCGCGCTGCTCTCACTCTGCACAGCGGAAGGCGATACCAGAGCAGCCTGAAAGAGATTTAGTGTTCAGTATATAGTATATAGTGTATAGTATATGTATATAATATACATGTATATAAGGGGCCAGGGATTTAAGGCTTTTTTGGGAGGGTTTGGGGTTTAGGGATTTGGAGTTTAGGGACGGTTTCGGGGACTTGGGCTTAGGATAGCTCCGGGATTTAGGGTTTAGGATGGCTTAGGGATTTAGGGTTTAAGATGGTTTAGGGATTTAGAGTTTAGGATGTAGGGCTCAGGGAAGTTCAGGGTTTAGGGTTCAATGTTTGCAGGACTTTCGGGCTCAGGCTGTACGGTTCAAACTTCTTCACTACCATACCTTATCGACCAAGGCAGCACACACACACACACACACACAAAATGGTGGAACACGTGTTGAAGGTTTACAGCAGTCAGCATTCTTGAATCCCAGAAAGCGGAACTTGTTTTCAGCTTAGGTTTGGGGGCTTCGATGGGGTTTTAGTTTGAGTATTAGGAATTATTAGGACCTAGGGTTTAGACTTCGGACCACTAGACCCAGCCCTCCGAACTGAAACAGTCCTATACTTGTCAAGCGATCCTAAATGAAGTGGTTGAAGCAGAGGGAACTATAAGCCAATAACAAACTTCCACATCCCTCTCCTTACGACGGCCCTAAAAGGAACACGTGTTCAAGGCCTTTGAGCTGTACACCCCCCCCCCCCTCCGAACCCCTTGCTGGAATCTACGGGGGGCCTTTAGTTCAGGGATGTTGAACTCACAAAGCCTTCAAAGAACCCCTTCTCAAGAAGTCTACAGTCTACAGTGAACCCCACCAAACTCAGGGGGGGCTCCATAAGGAGCCCAAGTAGCATGGATCCTTATTCCAGTTCAGCCCAAACAAACGGAGAGGATCCACACTCCGGGTTGACTGACGCAAGAGGTTTAGGGTTTAGGGTCTGATATAAGGGCTTCCTTGCTGGTACTTGGAGGTTCATGGGCACTTTTCAGTAGGGTAGCCATACATATAACCCATATTAGGAGACTTATAACCCCACTTATCACTACCCTTGAACCTCCACGTATCTTGAGGAAAACCTGAGACATTTCACTCATCACATCACGAAAGAGCCCTCGATGCACCCACCCACGACCCGACTGCATATAAATCATGTGCCATAAGGGATCCCTTAACGGAGCCCTTACCGGAACCCTTCAAGGATCCCTCCAAGGATCCCTTAAAGGAACCTCTTATGAGGCTGTTTAAAACAGATCGTCCTGGGAGACGTCCGGCAGAGGTGCAGGCGGGGCTTCCACCTGAAGACTTTGTTGTGAATAGAACCCAAACTATAGTGTTTCTTTTGGTTGTGTGAGTTGTTGCAGGGGTCTGGTTCGCGTTTGCACAACGGAGGCGGATGGCTTTTTGGTTCCTAGAGTTTCAGGGTGGATTAGGGTGTTAGGGTTTAGGGTTTAGTGTTTAGGGGGGCGGAGGGTTAGGTGCGGCTTGGCTTGGCTTGGCTGGTTTTTTCTGGTGGGTCAAGCCGGCAAGCCAAGCCAAGCCACACCTCAGAGGGCTTGTTCTTTCCTAGGTGTGGCTGGGCTTGGCTCGGTGTAGCTTGGCATGGCTGTGTATGGTTTCATATGCTTTTTCCGAGGTGCAGCTCTCGTTTTTTCTTGGGTGTGCGCTGCGCTCGGCTTGGCTCGGCTCGGTTTTGGCTTGAAATGACTGTCTTTTGCTTTGTCTTTCTGCCTAGGTGTGCCTCAGCTGTTTGTCCTCATGGGTCTCTGCTTCGGTGCGGCTTGGCTTGGCTCGGTCTGGCCTTGTTTGGCTGCATTTGTGGTTTTGCCTAGTTAGAGAAATCGCGGTACAATGCGGTTTTCAGCAAGCTTGTAAAGTCTAGGCTTAGGGTATTCGCTCGTTTGAAGGCTGCGGGTATGAAACCCGCGGCAGGATCCAATTTGTAGCCAATAACAGTGGAACCCAAGGTTTGAAGCGGTGAACATGACAGGCATTGAGGAGCCACGCACTTGTGCTTCGCACTGTAGGATTTCAGGAGTTGGTTGTGTAGGGTTGAAGCCGTACCCAAAACCCAAACCCTCCTTCTGTAAGGATGCGTACCAAAAGCTAGCTTAACACTTCCAGCTGCCCGGAAGGCCACGTAACCCAAACCGCCCATGTGCCGCCTCTGCTTTGGGCTCTGCTTCCTCGGAAGCGCCAGCAGGACGTAGTATACCCCAAAGCCCTGTGCTAATTGCACATGATAGTATCCTTTACGGTAACCCTTTGTAGTAACCCTATGATTCTCAAGCTCTATACATCTCTGGAAGCCTACAAACACAGACGATGGAACTCTGGAAATTAGGGCGCTGCAAGGTAAGTGCTGGTTCGAGCAGCAAGGATCATGCCTTTAGCATCCTGTGGGTTGAGCCTCGGGTTTAGGGCTTCGGGTTTTGGGCCTTGGGGTCTGATGTTCTAGACCTAAGAGTAACCCATTTATAAAAAGGGTGCCCTTTTTTGGTTTAAGGGGATTATACGGGAACCTGAACCCTAAAAAAGGGAATAAGGGCTTACTCTGGGTCGTAGTGTTCTGAACTTCAGGGGAGGCATGGCTGTGCAAAGGAAGACTTAGCAGGCGGATGATGCAGACCGGCCAGGAGCAACATGGCAGTTCCCCAGAGACTCCAAAACCCCTTAATTAAGGAATATACCTTAAACTATAATAGGATCCCTACTATAATTTAAGGTATATTCCTTAATTAAGGGGTTTTGGAGGCTCTGGGTCTCTGACATCCATCAACGAAGGCTGGCACCGCTAAAACTTGAGATCACAGCAGCCCTAATCCGCAAAACCCTAAACCCGAAACCTTCAACCCCTAGACCCTGACAGCCCATGAATCCAAGCTGCCTTGACCTCTACAGGCGGGGCGGCCGGTGGGCTGGAGCTCTCTGCCGCCTTCCTTCGCGGAGTCCAGGATACATTATTATGGTTTAAGATTTAGCGTTTAGGGTTGGTATAGATTAATACAGTCCAGGGTACATGATTTTGGTATAGGGTTTAGGGTTTAAGGTTAAGAATAATAGTGTTTAGATTTTGGGGTTGGTATAGCTTAGTACAGTACGGCAGTACGGTTTCCTGTTATATAGTAAAGTAAGATATTGAGGTAGCATATGACTGTGCATTTGGGGGCCTGATGGGGGTTTAGGATGTTCAGACTTCTTGGTGTTCGGGTGTGGCTCTCTCGAGACTCCGTCTGAGGCCTGTTTTGCGAGGCCTCGGTGAAATTCCGCCATACTTCAGCATGCCTCAACCCTCACCCCTGAACCCTTAACCCCCAAACCCTAAATCCCCAAAACCCTGGAAACCCCTAAACCCTGAAACCCTAAACCCTAAACCCTAAACCCCTAAACCCTAAACCCTAAACCCTCGGAAACTGGAAGGCCTCGAATTTCCCTTCCCTGGCCGCGAGGGTAAGGGTGGAAACGCATCGCCCAAGAGCTCGGCCTAAGCGACTCTTTGGTTTGGGGCTCTGATGGGTCCTTTGAAGGGTTCCTTTAAGGGCTCCTTTCAAGGGTTCCTTTCAAGGGTTCCTTTCAAAGGTTCCTTTAGGGGTTCCTTTAAGGGTTCCTGTTCGGGTTCTGTAAGGCCTGGGAGGGTTCCGTTCTGGGTTCGTTTACGTGCTTTTGTAAGGCCTGTGACGGTTCCTTGCACGGGTTCCTTTTTGGCTCGTTTCCGATTTCTGTTTAAGGGATCCTGTGAAATTGTTGAAGGCTTGCTTTTCGGGGTTCCTGTTTGGGCTTGTTTAAGTGCTTTCATGATTCCTCTACGGTTCCTTTACAATGGTTCCTTTGAAGGTTCCTTTACGGGTTCCTACGGTTCCGTCCGGGGTTCCTTGAAAGGTGGGTTGTTGTGGGCTCTGTTTGTTTCGGGCTCCTGTTTAGGGCTCTGTCAAGGCTTCCTTTCACATTCTAGTTCTGGCTGAAGGTTCGGGACTTCGGTTGCGGTCAGCGTCCGATACCCCGAATCGCGAAAACAGTCCCACAAACTTACGGCTCCAGGCTACTTGGCTTAGGGGCTGGAGCTCCCTTCAACCCCGGGCCTTTGCTATGTTTCTATTGAAGATATGGCTCTGGCCATCAAAGGTCGCGACCCAAGCACTATTCTGGCTTCTTGTCAAAGCACTTGAGTTAAACTACCTTAGTTCGGTTCTGCAGGATCCAATACGGTTTCCCGAATTGTTTTGGCATCTGACTGCTGACAGCTAGCAATTTGCAACTCCGATGCTGAAGTGGTGCGGCAGTCCCGGCCGGCTTGGAAGGGCTCTTATGGCTGTACGGGTTGGAGCTCCATGTCCGTGCAAGGATGCACGGTCAAGTCCACATGTGACGGTTGCTTTGAAACAAATTCCCGTTTTGACGGCCACAAGCCCCGATGTCTAGGATTCAAGGGAGCAACCAATGAGCTAATTGTCCATCGTCCACCCGTCGTGCATTCGAAGTGTCTGCGCGCGTTTCAATTTGCGCTTTGGCGGGGCAGGTGCCTAGGGGTGATGTGGCTCAGATGGGACTTTGAGAGGCACTGACAAAAAGGGCGCGGCCGCAAAACTCAAAAGTCATGTCTGCTGCACAGACTTCAATACCGCAGCAACGTCCATGGCATCCACGACGAGTTCTGGTAGTGTCTCCATGACGTCACCTGTTAGGTTTGCGTGAAGACTTCCTCCAGGTTTACAGTTCTATGCCCCAAAAATATTTCGGACGTTGAGTTAGGATTTCAGGTGTACGGCACATGCACCGCGAGCTATCTAAGTTTAGTGGCGATGCATAGGTTCTCTACAAAATGCTTGATCCGCCCTGTGTCAAATCATCACTCAGGATCGCTGGCACTTTCGAGTACTCCTGTTACCTTAAGACACGGTTTAGGGTTTAGGGTTTAGGGGCAGTAGGTCTGAACGATTAGCAATCGTAGTCCTTCATTAGTCCCCACATAATACACCCCAAAGCCCCATTCTAACGGCTCGCGGGGAATTTGGGGGTACAGTTTACTATCTTTACAACAAGGAATCATAAGGAATAGCTGTTTGCATTATTCCGACCCCTATAACAATCCTCGAAGTGCAAAACCCGAAGATCACAACCTTTGCACGAGGCCTGAACTCTCAGAAGGATGGGTTAGTAAAGGAGTAGGAAGTAAACATAATTTCACGAAGCACGCTCTATTGCACACCTTCCGTTTCCGAGCAGTGAGCTCCTTCGTCCGCGCATTCGCACCTTCAGCCTCCTTGCCTGCAAGCAAGAGCCAATCATCCTTGCCATGGGCCTTGAAGTAGGCGTCACGGCCAGCATTTCGCAGGGGTTGGTGCTCAGCTGGCGTCAACATGGTCCAGTAGACTACTGTAGATGAGAAGGATGGGCTAGCCATCAGAAATGAAAAGATCCTTAGCTCACAGGGCTTAGCTAGCCCGCGCCTAGCGCGGATTGCCCATGTTTCAACACATTATTTGGCTCAGCTGTGATGGCAATGATACATGATGCTTATACGAGTAAAAAAGAACATTGTCTCTCGAGGAAAGAAGCTTCGTCAAGCAATGCACGATTGGAGTGACATCGTAGTTCGCAGGAGGTTAAATAAACCCTCGAGCAGCAGCAGCAGCAGCAGTAGCAGTTGCTGTGGCAGTAGCAGTGGCAGCAGCAGCAGTGGAAGTGGGGGGTGGGGGAGTGGGGGAGTGGGGGAGTGGGGAGTGGGGGAGTGGGGGAGTGGGGGAGTGGGGGAGTGGGGGAGTGGGGGGGTGGAGTGGGGAGTGGGGAGGGGGGGAGTGGGGGAGTGGGGGGAGGGGGGAGTGGGGAGTGGGGGTGGGAGTGGGGGAGTGGGGGAGTGGGAGTGGGAGTGGGGAGGGGAGTGGGGGAGGGGGAGTGGGGGGGAGGAGTGGGGGAGGGGAGTGGAGGGGGGGAGTGGGGGAGTCGCGAATGGAGGGCAGTCGGGCAGGAGGGAAGAAGCAGGAGTTGAGATTACGAGTAGAAGTAATTAGGGTAGGAGTAGAGAAGGCGTATAAGGTGTACCTACTTATCACATACTCTAAGCTAGAAAGGAAATGTAGCACGAACCACTTGCTATCTAGATCCCTAGCGCCAGGCCAGCACTGTCCTAGCGCCAACAAGGGGATTAAGGAGCCCTAGGTGCGTGGCGCCTCTTGTTGTAAATAAAAAGATAGACCCCAACAATCAAATAGGTTGTTTAGTATAAACTTCGCGACAAGGTATTATTTACATATCCAGAACATATCCAGAGAGATAGATAGATGTTTAGATAGATAGCTGCAGCATAGATATCTCCATTTGTTGTGGTGTAAGATAAAAACTACGATTATTGTTACTATATATATATATATATATAGATTAAGGAGTTGCTGGGCTAGGTTTGTTGTCACAATGTCTGATTAACTGTTTCCTTGAACGCATGGAGTGGCCGTGCCAAGGCTTCGTTGATTACTAGGGCATACTGCGGCGAATCTAGGGTTTAGGGTTTAGGGAGCAGTGTAGACCATTCTGCAAACACTTCCCAAACACCCGACAAGACCCCTACAGGGGGGACCATATACCCCAAATCCTCAAGCCCAAACTCCACCCTAAACCCAACCCTAACCCTAAAACCCAATTGAAGCCTAAACCGTAAACTGAAGCCTAAGCCCTAAACCCAAAAGCCTAAACTCACAAGCGTATAGCTCCGAAAAGCAGTCGGGCGTTGGGGCCCCGGGCCATGTGAGCTCAAAGAAGCAACCGTGCCATCGCGCTGGGGAGGCAACCCTAAACCGCAACCCCTAACCCTAGGTTGACCTGATATAGGGGCCTCGATAACTGGGGAGGTCTACTCTAGTATATTTGTACTAAGGGGCCCGGGGGAATACTATTGGAAATTATTCAGGCTTCTTAGTGGGCGCTTGTTCCCTTATGGAAAAGATTTTCTGCTACATTGTGGCCGCTGCTATCACCATCCCGGCTTGGTTCACGTGTTCCCATTGCTGCTGTGTGCTGCAGTAGCTTGTGGGTGGGAGGGTCGAAAACTAGATGCCCTTGTTCCCTCAGCACGGAGCTCTCCGCCTTGCAGCGTGGGGTAAGGCCAGAGGGCCATCGCAAAAGTATGGCACAATGCCAATCAAATCAATGTCAAGAAAACGCTAGGGCAGGAACACTACCCAACTGCTGGATTCTGCATGCAGCAAGTGGCGCTGAACGTGTTCAGGGCTGCATTTAGCATTTGAGCCGAATAATTAAGCAATTTGCCGACCAGCAAGGTTGGCGTGCAACATTTGGGGTGTTGGGTTTGGGGTATCCCGAAACCCTACACCCTATACCCTAAACCCTAAACCCTAAGCCCTAAAAATCCAGAGTTGAGGTTTACTTGGAGGGTCGGGGGACTTAGTAACTGGTTATTTTAAGGACTTATAAGTACCATAACCCCAATTAGGGTCTCGTTTTGGGTACTTATAAGTCTACTTACTACCTACTTACTAAGTCCCCCGACCCTCCAAGTAGGGTTTAGGTAAGTTCAGGGTTGATGGTGGGCGCTTTGAGGGTTTAGGATTCGATCATGATTTCGGGTTTCGGGCTTTTTGGCTCCGCCGAAGCCAACCCCAAAGCCCAAACAGTTGCGAATCCGTGGCTTTGGGCCTTGAGTGCTCGTATCCCTCGGGGGCCTCAAAAGGTAGGATGAAGGTGGGTGGCATATTCCCCAATAAGAGTCCTTCTTTAGGGGATCCGTAATCCCACCTACCTTCATCCCACCTTGTGAGGCCTCCGAATCCCCAAGCCCTGAACCTAGAAGCCGCAAACCCTTTGAGCTCAAGACCCAAAGCTTGGTTCCTAGACCCTAAACCGAGTGGCATCAATTCCAATGCCCTCTTGTAAAGCCCCTGAAAGAAAACCTGCGAAGACCCACAAATCCAAGCACAAACCCCCGTTTGTAGAGGGCCCTCCTTGGCTCACGGAGGCTAGGTCGGGCTCCAAGCTCTCTAAGCTTGGGGGGTTTGGGGAGCAAAGGCAGGGGCTGAGGGACGGTGGAGTAGGGTTTGGGCCAAGTCTGGGGTTCAGGATTCAGGATTTAGGGTTTAGGGTTTAGGGTTTAGGGTTTAGGGTTTAGGGTTTAGGGTTTAGGGTAGGGTTTGGTATTCACATTGCGGGTGTGTTGCCTCTTAGAGCAGTGTGAGATGTCGGGAAACTTGGATGGCTCAGTCCCTTCGTTTCACAGCCCGAAGACGCACTGTCTGATAAACCCTAGACCCGAAACCTGTACACCCAAATATAGCGGCCTTAATAGTTAGAATAGGGTTTTGGTGCCCAGTATACTGTAACTAAAATAAGGAACCCCCAAAATAGGATAAGTAATTATTTAGGCCCCTAGTATCCAAATAATCGAGACGAGAAGCTGAATAAGCTGCCAGAAAGAATCCATAAACACCCTCCGCACATCAAGCCCTAACTCTCTCACGCTGGCTTTTTGGAGATCCGAACAAGCAGGGCCTTTGTGATCGTTTCGAGTCTTCGCCTGCCACTCACCTGCTTGCGCTTCTCCAAGGGCTGCAGGTCAAGGGAAGTGGTGCTTTGGGTTTAGAGGGTTTAGAGGGAACTCCAGAAAGTTGGAATATGGTTTCAGGGTAGGATACCCTATAATTTACCATAAAGGGTTTAGGATAATCATATTCAGAGGGTTTAGAGGGTTGAGGGTTTAGGCCTTAGAGGGTTTAGGGTTTAAAGTTAGGGGTGTTGGATTTGAGGCCTTAAGTCTTCAGGGCACTAGACTTGAACAACATAGGGGATAATATTACTACTTCTTCCGACCGCTTTTTTGGGTTTTGGGGATTGCGGTTTGGGGCTCAAGGGTTTCGGATTAAGGAATACGGTCTAGGATTCCCGAGCCTATTTTTGCAAACAAGCTTACTTAACATGAAGATTCTAATATTAAGGGTCTTAATATGTAGTACCTAAATCAAGCATCCTTTCTTTTCTGAAACTACTTCGATCCAACTCACAGCAGACAACGTCCTAAGGTTTGGGGCTCAGGTTTGCAGTTTGGGGCTTGGGGTTTGGGGTCTAGGTCTAGGTTTTGGGTCTAGGCGATGTCGCTCTGTGTTCTTCTGCTTAGAACCTTCACGCTTCGTGTCACTATGACCCCAAACAACCGGGCAAGCACCACGGTTTTACACTCTTCTAGAGGGCCTTCCGTCTTCAGAGTGTGGGATTCTGTCGCTGACTTGCGAGGCTTCGTCAACATGGCATTGAAGCACTCGAGGTTAGGATACCCAGTAACCTAGGAATAAAAAGGCCTCTCTTTTTGGTATTGGGTAACTTTATAAGGAACCTAGGACTACAAAAAGGAAATAAGGGTACTACTGGGCATCCTAGGAGGTATAATCAGAGGCTCAAAACCAGCACGGCGCTTCGGGGGTGCGTGTTGCTAAAAATGCAAGAACAAGCAGCAATGGAGGAGCATGTAACAGGTGTGGGGTTTACGGTTCTGTAGTGATCCCACTGCCATAGAGGGTTTACCGTTTATACCTTGTGGTCTCCTAAACCCTATTCCCTGCACGACACCTCTCGTAGCCATCATCAGTCGGCCCCACCTTGTACTGGAAACCGTCCATAAAGCCGCAAAAAGCCGGACCAAACATTGACATGCAAAACCACCTGAAGACATCCTTATTGCACATCCGTTTTCCGGTTTAGGGCTTAGGGTTTGGGGCTTAGGGTTCAGGGTTTCAGGTTTAGGGTTTAGGGTTTAGGGTTCAGGGTTTCAAGTTTAGGGTTTAGGGATTAGTGTTCGGGGTTTGGGGTTGACGAGGACGAGCCTCGATGCGATCGATCTTCATCCCGGAGCGAGTGCCCTGCGCTGAGCGCCGGGTCCTCTTCGGATGCGTCGGTCTCATGAAATAGGGGAGCCTTGTATGGATCCAAAATGGCAGGATGATTCATACTCTATAGTAGAGGACCTGCAAACAGGGCCAACCGATGACCAAACTTTGAGAAACCTCCAACTGGGGATTCTGGTTTACAGCCTGAGGTTTGACCTTTAAGATAAGGGTTCGAATATATATATATATATATATATATTATACTGATATTTAGAGAGAGAGAGAGAGAGAGAGAGAGAGAGAGAGAGAGAGAGAGAGAAAGAGAGAGAGAGAGAGAGAGATGGGAATCATGATAGTTACCTCATCATGACAGTTACCTCGGTCTGTCAACTCTTGCCAAAAGAAGCTGCAGAGCGCAAGCTTTTCGTGCTGGCGCAGGGCACTCGCACTCCGTCTGAGGCCGTTTTAGCATAAGTTTCATCGGGATCCAGGCACTGCTTGGCTGCCAACCGTAAGCTTGCCTGACTTTCTCTAGGAGTCGCTCTAAGCCTCCCCACACCCTCAGGACTATACCCTAAACCGGCTTCGAGCAGACCGCCGGCAACAAACCTTGAAGCCGAACACTGCCTTATCCTGCATTGAGAAACCCGAAGACACAGCAAGCCCCAAGTGCCGACCCGATCCAGCGAATTACACTTTGCAGTTGATAATTAGGGCTCCTGTAAGACAAAGATAAGCACCATCATATTCTTCATAACAATGATAGTACTAGTACTAGTAGTAGTAACAACAACGATACTCTTCATAATCGTACCATTAGCAGTGTTATCTTCATAAGTGTCCGATGTCTAGCTGCCTCTCAGCTGCCCGAGTGGGTCTCCTTGCCAAGGCCTGCCGGGCCGTGACAAGAAAGGCGTCCTCCACGTGCTGGCCGGTGACTGCGGAGGTCTCCAGAAAGCCGAGGCCGTGGTCAGTTGCAAATCTGCTTCCTTCCTCGAAGCTCACCTGACGTTTTGCGTCCATGTCGGCCTTGTTACCAACCAAGGTAATGGCGAGTCCAGTATCCGTGTGCTCCTGGAAGTGGTGTAGCCACTCCTGTATGTGCTCGAAGCTGTCCCGCCGCGTGATGTCGTAGACCAGCAGCGCGCCAGCAGCACCACGGTGGTATTTGCAGATGATGCTGCGGAAGCGATCTGCGCCGGCGCAGTCCCAACACTGCAGACGGATAGCCTCCCCCTGTACATCGACGTTGCGAGAACCAAACTCTACCCCTATGGTGCTGTGCTTCGTGCGATACTTTTTGTCGGTGAATCGGAGCAAGAGGCAAGTCTTTCCTGCTGCCTCATCACCGAGGAGCATGACCTTGAAGAGCTGCGGGCAGTCCGGCATCCAAGACTCAAGGCTCTGAGGCAAGCTTACTTCACCGCCGCGAGTGCGATCTGCTCGCTGTCGAGATAGCGGAGAACCATGTGATAGGTAGGGACTCCAGGAGAAGGGCGCTGGCGCATCCTCCGCAGAGGGCTGCGTGCCCAGAAGCCACTTTGGGCTTGGGTTCCTGTAGCAGCAAAGCAAGTTCAGCATGAAGCCTCGTGACCAGGCCAGGGCACCTGACAGGATTCGTAGATTGAGGTGCTGCTTCTTGACATCGCTGGTGCTCGAGCCACAGCCATTGCGTAGAGGCCTTCAGCCGTGTTCGCATCAAAAGTCCGTCGTGGCCTGTATTACCAAAACAAGCCCAAACCCAAACCCTAAAACCCCCAAAACCTCAAACCCTAAACCCCAAGACCTAAACCCTCTAACCCTGAACGCTACTAAACCCTTAAACCCCTCAACCCCGAAATCCCAAACCCCGCACATCCCAAACCCTGACACCAAAAACCGCGAGCCCCAAGGTCTCCATTAGGGACCCAAAAAGCACATAAGCATAGGCATTTGATGGTGATATCCCTACCTTATTGGGCTTCATTATAAGGGGATTTATATGGGATATCCCTACCCTAATTTTTTGCTTATGTGCTTTTTTGGGGCCCGACTCCACCCTAAACCTGACGACCGCACGCAAGGCCTCAGGTGCCAAAACCTGCAAGTCTCAACCCCTGTGTTTAGGATTTAGGTTTTAGGGTTTCGGTGTAGGGTTTAGGGTTTAGGGTTTCGGTGTATAACCCAATTTAGGGTTTTAGGGTTTGAGGATCAAGGATGAGGGGGTTTAGGGATAAGCCCCTACTCATATCGTCATGTTGTATACAACCCAAGTCTGAACCCGATTGCAGGTTTCATGTTCAAGAAACCCCCCGATTCAGTCAATACTCCTCCTGCCTTAGAGTAGCTTTAGCTTGAATAGGCCCATTCGAAACACCTTGCCATGAAAAGTTTTATGGAGGGGTTCTGAACATTGGGGCCTCACGAGAAGGATGCTACGATACCGGGCCTACGACTTTCGACACTTCACCCTTACTTGTACCATTAGAGCCGTGCGAATCACTCGAAGACCCTGTAAAACCAAATACACAAAGACCCAAACGGATCCCATCAGACACCTTTAAGCTCCCATAAAGCCTGCAAGACCCTGTAAGCCCCTAATCAATCGCCCCACTTGTTCAGGGGGCCTGAGGTTGAAATCCTAAACCCCAAACTCAGAAACCCCAAAAAACTGATCCCGAAAATCTGAAGCCCCGAAAGCAGAGTAGGACAACGGGGCACCGGGCCATGTGGGCTCCAAGAAGCATCTGTGCCATCGCGGGGAGGGAGGCAACGCCAACATGGGAGATTAGAAAGGGGATTGGGGGGGCTAATATAACTGTATAGGGACTGTCATGGTGGATAACAGAACTAAGTATTGCGACCCTTTTTCCGACCTTTAGCCGGAAGCCTAAACCCGTTAAACCCCAAACCCTACGTCCTAACATGAGGCAAGGACAGGAGGCCATCGCAAAAGTAGTGCACCGTGCCACGTAAAAGAACAGTGGCAGTCAAGAAAGCATATGTGGACACTACCGGACTGCTGGATACTGCATGCAGCAGGTGCTGATGAACGTCTTTAGGGCTGCATGGAGCGTCTGAGCCAAATATGCAGTTCGCCGGCCAGAAAAGTTAGAGAGCAGCACTTGTGGGTTTGCGGTATACCCAGGGGTGGGGGCCTGATTGCAGAGTAGGGTTTTAAAAAGTTATACTTTAGGGTTTGCAGCTTGGGGCGTGGTCTATGGTTTCCGTTTTGAAGTGTCCTTGGAGCTGCGTTTATCTCGGAAACCCCCATACCGAATCCTAAACTCTAAACTCCAAGCCCCAAAGCCGTCGACCCTAAACTCGAAACCTTACACCTCAAACCGAGTACCCATTGTCATAGCAACCCCTTAGAGGCCCTGGGTTTCCATCTTAGACGACGTCGGCCAGCAAGCTTGCGGCTTTCGGGCTTTAGGACACCATGATGCGAAGCGGGGTTTTGCGGTTCTAGGGCTTTCAGGGATTCAGGGATCTCTCTTAAACCCTAAACCCGAAACCCTACCCTAAACCCAGGTTTGGGGCTCAGGAATCAGAACTGTCGGCTTTAGAAACCTGATGGGCTGAGGGACTGAGCTTCACAGCACGACAACGCACTGGCAACTTAAATCACAAAGCCCCCCGAACCCTGCGAAAGCCCTCTAAAAGCTCTTCGAAACCTCTACAAAAAAGCTCTAAGAGTCCTACTTGGAGGTTCAGGGGTAGCTATAAGTGGGGTTATAAGTCCCCTAATGTGGGTTATAAGTATAGTCACCCTACTTATAAGCCTACTTATAACTAACCATGAACCTCCAAGTATACACCGCCCCACGAGCCACTCTAAAGCTCTGATAGGCAGCAACTTGTCGCACTGGGCTTTTTGAGATCTGAGCAAGCAGCGCCTCTATCAGCTCTATCGTTCTTCCAAGTCTTCGCCTTCCACTCACCTAGCGACAGCTCTTGCGATGTGTTTAGGGCTTTCGGGTTAGAGGTTAGGTTTGAACACTTAGAACAGCGTGTTGGGTGGCTGCTGGGGTGCCGGGTGATATAATATACTGACATACTTCAGGCATACCAAGGAACCCTTAAGGAAGTTGAAGATTAAGTATTCAGGTGGCTTGACGATTTGGTGTTTAGAGTTCGGCGCGTAGTACAAGGCTTGGCTTTTCTTTGGTTTCGATCTGGTTTTTGGGGATTTACTACTGAAGAGTATATGCACAGGAATTTACTCCAGGGCTGAGAATAAAACTTCCAGCTTCCGGCGTAAACCCCTTCTCATGCTTATGCAAAGCTTCGGAGCTGATTGTGTGCATTTCTTGTCATGAAGGGTCTCGTTTCTTTGAATTTCCCGAAGTTCAAGCATCATACTATGTAGGGCCAAAATCGAGGGTCCCCTAAACCCTTCAACCCTACACCCTATTAATTTAGTTTGTAGAACTTTCACTCCGAGTCGCAGCTTACAGACGGCGTCCGCGACGACCGCACTTGCGGCGAGTGCAGTCGGTGGGGATGGGAGTCACGTCCTTCGGTTGATGATATAAATCCCAAGGGTTCCTTTAAAGGGATCTATAGGGATACCTTTAAGGGGATCTATAGGGTTTAGGGTTTAGGGTGATGATATAAATCCTGCATTACCTTAAGGACCCTAAACTATGGGACTGGTGGGATATTCCTTATTCTGGGTAATGCAGGATTTATATCATCAACCGTTCCAAGTTCCAAGAGCTGTTGCAGCTTAGGGTTTGGGAGTCCGGGGTGTAGAGTTTAGAGTGCAAGGGTTTCGGAATTTAGAGGTTTAGGGCTTAAGTTTGAAACTACAGTTTAAGGTCTGCTTTTTCAGGGCCGTGAGAGACCAGTCCTGAAATAGGTGGTTCTTTCTAGTTGCTCTTGTGCTTGTCATACCGTGCTTTGTTACTTTTCGAAGCGTGCCACCGGCAACCCAAACATGCCTAAACCCTAAACCCTAAACCCCCAAACTGAACCCTAAACCCGAACCCCTAAAGATTAAACCCCACTTGCGCAGCATCTTGAAGCTTGACAAGCTTCTGAAGGGCTTTTGGCGTTGGTGTGGGACTCTTTTGCTGTAAAGAGCTGTGGTCCTTCTTACTGCACGGACCTGCTGTCTCCACGCGGATTATCTACGGGTCACCGCAGTCTTTACCAGATCATGGTAGTCCAACTTCAACACGAAGCCCCCGAAGTGCAAACATTCGCAGCTGGACACCAAGCATGTCAAACCTGAAGCCTTCTCATCCCCAACAAACGGCGCTCTGAACTAAACCCCGCTAAACCCTAGACCCTAAAGCTCAACGAAGCCCCAGCCGCGTGATACTATGGTCCGCCCACACACTCGGGCCATTCCTAACTCATCCTCGCGGCCCGTACTTGGAGGTTCAGGGGCAGTTATAAGTGGGGTTCCTTTAAGGGTCCCTTTAAAGGGATCTGTAGGGATTCTATGAGGGTATAGGGTGTTAGTTATTACTTGGAAGTTCACGGGTAGTTACAAGTGAAGTGGGGTTAGAAGTCCCCTAATATGGGTTATAAGTATAGTTACTCTACTTATAACCCACTTATAACTACCCATGAACCTCCAAGTAGCCTCCAAAACAACAGGTACAATGCTGCATTTGGAAGCAAACCTCATAGAACCCCAAAAAGCCATGTAAACCCCCACCATAACTCTAAGACCGCACTTTGGGGATTCATATGGGAGTTTCCGAAAATTAGGGGTACCCTATTTTGGGGTCCTTATAATAAGGATCCTACTATTTAGGGTACCTAGATTAGGGTCCCCTATTTTTTGGAAACTCCCATCTAGACTCCCCCCGCCCTGCTCGCTTCTTCAATCTCCACCGAAACGCGCCCGCCTCGATGCGACCGATCTTCATCCCGGAGCGTGCCAGCGCACGGAGGGCGCTCTGAGCCCCGGGCCCTGTTCGGATGATGGGGTTTTCAGAGACTTGATGAGCAATATAAGTATTGTACGGAATAAATATATATATATATATATATATACAAAATATACATAAAGAAACCCGCTAGGCGGGATCAGGCCTTTAGGAGAAGGGCTTCATTTCTAGCAGAGAAGCCCCTCGGAATGCCGCATTTTTCTTACTCGCGTGGCACTCGCACCCGGTTCGAGGCTGTTTCAGCATTGGCACAGGCTTCAAAGTCAACCGCATCCTGACTGCTAGCACTCAGATTGCAGCTCATCCGTCAGGACAACTCGAATTTCACGGAGCTTCGGGCATTGTCTTGAACTGACATGCAGACCACCGGACCCGCCGAAGATTGAAATAATCTGCAGTCAAAACGGGTAAGCAAATGCCGGTTCCGGTGAATTAGATTTTGCGGATTCTGCTGTCTTCGTTGGTATCATTAGTGTTCGTCGTCTGCAGACACCTCGCCCCGAGTCGGTCTGCATTGGTCCGCAGCGATCTTCCTTTTCAAGGCCTGCCGGGCCGTGACAAGAAAGGCATCGTCCACGTGTCGGCCGGTGACTGCGGACGTCTCCAGAAAGCCGAGGCCGTGGGCAGTTGCAAATCTGCTGCCTTCCTCGAGGCTCACCTGACGTTTCTTGTCCATGTCGGCCTTGTTGCCGACCACGGTTATGGCGACGTCAGTATCTGCGTGCTCCCGGATCTCTTTGACCCATTCCAGTAAGTGCTCGAAGCTGTCTGGCCGCGTGACATCGTAGACCAGAAGCGCGCCAGCAGCACCACGGTAGTAGCTTCTGATGATGTTGCGGCAGCGATCTGCGCCGGCGCAGTCCCAACACTGCAGCTTGGTTGCCACGCCCTGTACATCGATGGCACGAGAGCCATACTCCACACTCACAGTGACGTGGTGCTCCGTGCGATACCTTTTCTCGGTGAACTGCAACAGAAGGCATGTCTTTCCTGCTGCCAAATCGCCGACAATCACGAACTTAAGAAGCTGCGGGTAGTCAGCATCCTGGAAAGACGGATCATATTGCCGAAAGTCCTGATACCTGCATTGGTCCGCAGCAAGCTTCCTTGTCAAGGCCTGCCGAGCTGTCAGAACAAAGGCATCGTCCACGTGTCGGCCGGTGACTGCGGACGTCTCCAGAAAGCCGAGGCCGTGGGCAGTTGCAAATCTGCTGCCTTCCTCGAGGCTCACCTGACGTTTCTTGTCCATGTCGGCCTTGTTGCCGACCATGGTAATGGCGACGTCAGTATCTGCGTGCTCCCGGATCTCTTTGACCCATTCCAGTAAGTGCTCGAAGCTGTCTCGCCGCGTGACATCGTAGACCAGAAGGGCGCCAGCAGCACCACGGTAGTACCTTCTGATGATGTTGCGGCAGCGATCTGCGCCGGCGCAGTCCCAACACTGCAACTTGGTTGCCACGCCTTGTACATCGATGGCACGAGAGCCATACTCCACACTCACAGTGACGTGGTGCTCCGTGCGATACCTTTTCTCGGTGAACTGCAACAGAAGGCATGTCTTTCCTGCTGCCAAATCGCCGACAATCACGAACTTAAGAAGCTGCGGGTAGTCAGCATCCTGGAAAGACGGATCATATTGCCGAAAGTCCTGATACCTGCATTGGTCCGCAGCAAGCTTCCTTGTCAAGGCCTGCCGAGCTGTCAGAACAAAGGCATCGTCCACGTGTCGGCCGGTGACTGCGGACGTCTCCAGAAAGCCGAGGCCGTGGGCAGTTGCAAATCTGCTGCCTTCCTCGAGGCTCACCTGACGTTTCTTGTCCATGTCGGCCTTGTTGCCGACCACGGTAATGGCGACGTCAGTATCTGCGTGCTCCCGGATCTCTTTGACCCATTCCAGTAAGTGCTCGAAGCTGTCTCGCCGCGTGACATCGTAGACCAGAAGGGCGCCAGCAGCACCACGGTAGTACCTTCTGATGATGTTGCGGCAGCGATCTGCGCCGGCGCAGTCCCAACACTGCAACTTGGTTGCCACGCCTTGTACATCGATGGCACGAGAGCCAAACTCCACACTCACAGTGACGTGGTGCTCCGTGCGATACCTTTTCTCGGTGAACTGCAACCGAAGGCAAGTCTTTCCTGCTGCCTCATCGCCGACCATCAGGAACTTAAGAAGCTGCGAATAGGCAGCTCCAGCGCCTGCTGGTTGTCGAGATAGCGGAGAACCGCTTGATAGATAGGGACTCCACGTAGATGAGATCGGCGTGTCCTGCGCAGAAGGCTTCTGCCTGTGGCAGCAAAGCATGCTCAGCATGATTTCGCCGACCTCCTACCCAGGCGACCACCGCAGGGCACGTGCAGAGCGCCCTAGATTGCCATGCCGCGTGTTGAGGTCGCCTCAGCTTGAGCCCACAGCCAAATCTTGTCAGGTCTGTAGGATGCTGGAGTGCTGCTGATGCCCTAAACCGTAAACCCTAAACCCTGACCCCTAAGACCCTAAACCTTAAATTAAACCCCTAAACCCTAAATCCTACACCCTAAGACCCTAAACCCTAAACCTTAAGACCCTAAACCTTAAACCCCTAAACCCTAAACCCCACTCTTCCATTCATGCAGGGGCTTCTTGCTGGTCGTCGGTGGTCGCTGCATCTCAGCCAGTGTTTACAGCGTTGCTTGGGAACTTTAGGGTTTAGGGTATCCTCAACATAGGCCCTAACCTTGGAGTATAAGTCTAGATAGATATTCTGGTCGATTTTGTGCAATCCATCCAAGAGTGGACGCTTTCAGCTTGAATCTAGGAAAGCGGGCAACCTAGTCACAGTCGCCTTCCTGATTAGAAAAAAGGGTTTTAGGGGTGCAGTATTATGACTCTAAGGGCATGCTCTTGCCGATTTTGCGACCCCTGTACGAGCACGTTTCGTTCCCTGAACCCCAAGCCCTAAACCCCCAAACCCTGTACCAGCACCTTTCTTATTCAAGCTTTCGACCCACTGTCCGACTATGGAAAGCCTTCTTCTCTTCCTGAGGCCTGAACCATTTGTTCCGGCTGGTTTCGGGGGGGGTATGCTCTACTATGCTTACATGGACAATACAGGGACAATTCTCCTATTGATGCAGACCTCTAAATTCGGTTTCGAGGCTTAGGGTTGACCAGCCTGGCGTGCGTGTCTTGGTGCCGCCGGTTGCACGGAGCTTGATGTGGAGTGCGCCAATGCCCAACTCCTGGCGCCCGCGCGATTTCCAGACGTCATTCCAAATTTGGGGCACCGGCAGGTGAGGTCTCAATGTGTCACCCGTAGGATACTGGGTCTGCATGTCTGCTTACAACCCGAACAAATATACAAAAGGAACGTCGCCGGTAATCAGCAACTGGACAGAGCACATATGCTCAACTGAGTTGGGCTATGCTGAAAAGGTAGCTTCTGGGCGACCTACAGAAAACACCTAGCATCAGGACATTAATCGAGGTGTCTTGGGAAAATTCCCACAAGCGAATCAACTTTTTCCGCTGCCAGAGGAGTACCTGCTCATTAGGTGTGCTGAGCGACCCACCGTGACAGCAGCCACAGTTTGTCCTAAACACAAACTGCCCTGCAAAAAAACCTCGTGGCACGCACATGCGTGCACATTTACAGGACTTAGGCTTTGCAAAAGAAGGCATCAATCTACATCGTATAAATGTCTCAATCAGGTCTTCTTCTGCAGGAGCATGGGATTGTCTGGCAGCACCGCGCAGTCACGCGGCCATCGGAAAGCAAGAAAACTGAACTCGAACAGCCTGGGGCTGTAAGCTGAGCCCCAAGCCCCCGCATGTGGGAGTTTCCGAAAATAGGGGCTCCCTATATCCTTTTTAAACTGACCCCAAATTAAGCTACCCCTAACTTTTCGGAAACTCCCGTGTAGACTTCGGGTATGTCTCCGACGTGCGGTGACCCAATTCTTTGCATTGAACTGAACGCACATGTATTTGCCTCATCGCACTGGCCTGGTCTGCTACGCACATGACCTTCTGTATAGGACAGCCAGGGACGAAACAGGATCCGGAGGGTTAGATGCAAAGCTGTACATATGACCTTGCCATGCTGGGATTAGGCACACTTCTTGTGTGCAGGAGGAATAAATTGGGATTGTGCTGCAAGGTCGGGGCATCATTCATCTCCAGATTTTGGCGACAATCAAGGAGCGCCTTCGCTTCAGCAGAGGGCCTCTGCTGCGGGCGTGAGCACGATGCTCTGCTCCGGTTCGGGGTCCGGGATGCAGGCTCCCTCCTCGTCCAGGCTGACCCGCATCCTTGCCACTTCGGAATTCTGGTGGAAAATCCTGATCCCTCCATCGTGGGCGATGCTAGACAGGCTCTGAAGACCATCTAAGCTGTCGGCAGCCGCCGCCAGCAGCGTCGTTCGAAGATCGGCAGAGCTCAGGTTCTCGAGGCTCTCGGGATTTTTCACATCCACGTCTCCGACGACGGGAAGGCTGAGAATCCAGCGTTCGGCTTCCGTTCTCTGCTCACCTTCCCGCGCTGCGAAGAGGGTGCCTTCCGGCTCGGGCTCAGCGCTGCCCGCCTCGCTGATGGTAGAACTTACCACTGCCTGTGTTTTCGGAGAGTTCCGCGTGGCGTCACCGTCCTCTTCCAGCCTGTTCAAGAAACTGAAAATTCGTTCGGGGAATCTGCCGTGCAAGATGCCACAGGGGATGCCGGCACAATGGGCCGTCCGGGCTGCAGACACCTTGGTTGCCATGCCGCCAGTGCCCAAAGAAGACCCCGGCTCGCGGGTGTCGACGTCCAGCTCGAATGCCTCGTTGACCACCCTCATGGGCTCAGCCGAGGGATCCACATTGGGGTTCGCTGTGTAGAGGTAGTCCACATCAGTGAAGAGGAACACTCCAGCAGCTCCCAGCTGCACCGCAGTCAGGGCTGCAAGGTTGTCGTTGTCACCGAAGCGCATGCCATCTGTGTTGGTGGTGTCGTTCTCATTGATGATTGGGACCACGTTGGCTTCGAGACATGCTGCAATCGTGTCACGGATTTCGGCCCAGCGTTGCTGCTCCAAGAAATCGCGCTGACTCACCAAAAGCTGCGCCATTTTCAGCCCTACAGTCTCGAAGAGCTCAGAATACACGCGCATGATGCGGCTTTGGCCGACCCCAGCGACAGCGCGCTTCAGCGCAGGAGTAGTGGGCTTCTGCTTCAATCCCAGCTCGCGGCAACCCATGCCAACGGCTCCAGAAGAGACAAGGACGACTTTGAACCCTTTGTAGGAGAGATCGGCGATGACTTCCACCAACCTCGAAAGATTCGCGACGTTCACCCGCTGCCCTCGCTCGTCGGAGGTCATGATCGTCGAAGTTCCGACCTTCAACACAAGAGTTTGAGCTTCAGCGGGCATCGTGTCAAGAGTCATGGCTGGAGGAGTTGAAAGTTGCTCGAACAAGCCGTTGTTCTTGAGCCGTCGCCATGTTAAGTCTTTGTGAGAATTTACAGACCCACAAGGAGTACAGGTTACCTGCTCAGCTACAAAGAAGAACATGCGGGAAAACATGCACCTCGGGCGCCTTCGTCCGCACATGCAGGCAACAAGCAGGTTCATCAACCCTTCTACCATAATACGGATTCTACTACCGATCCTGACATAGGAGCCTTTATGGAAACCCATCTCCGGCGCCTTGCAGCGGGCGGCCACGTCCTGTGCCGCAAGCATCGCCGCGTAGGGCGAGGACCTCGCAACCCAAGGGCCGATAGCGCAGAGCTTCGCAGGGCCTTGAGTTTAGGGTTTAGGGTTTTGGGTTCTATACAGTAGAAGCCAGAAAGTTGGAATATCATTGTCGCAACCCCTTTAAGGTACATTATAGGGGATCCTACCATTAATCCATATTCCAACTTTTTGGAGTTCCCTTTATTACGTTATTATGATAATGGTGCATATCATGTTATGTTGTATGATGTTGTGCTATGCTGTGTAGGTTTATGCTTTGTAGGAACTTTGCAAGGGGTGAATGGCTCGGGGATGTAGGGGTTTTGAATTGGAGGCTTCAGGGCTTCGGGCTGAAAAAACGTGCCCTTAATTGCCAGAATAGGGTTTGGGAGCCCTTTCTATTATGATTATAACAAGGAACCCCCAAAATAGTACAGGTAATTATTAAGGCCCCCTTTTTTAGGCGTGCCGTATTTTCTGCTTTCTTGACAGGCTTCAGGCAGGGACCCCAAGCACAAGAAGCGATCCCTACCCACAGGCCCCCAAATAGGGTTTAGGGTTCAGGGTCTAAGGTTTAGGCATATGTGCAATTCGTCTAGTATAGGTGCCTGAAAAAAATTAGGACAGGGTTTGGGGCCCATCATACGATGATCATAATAAGGAATAAGGAACACCAAAAATAGTATAGGTAATTGATAAGGCCCCATTTTTTGCATTCCAAGATACCTTGCTCAATCAAGGGCACTTGGGCTCTCTGGGGACGAGGCCTTCCACTCACAGTCCAAGAACTACTTGGGTGGTTGTCAAAACTAAGATCCCTTTCTAGGGTACCCTAAATATTAAAGCTGCCTTATTATAATAGGGACCCAAAACGGGACCATAATTTTGACAACCACCCACTTGGAGGTTCATGGGTGGTTTTAAGTAGGGTAACTATACTTATATCCCGTATTCGGGGACTTATAATCCCCCTTATAACTACCCCTGAACCTCCAAATGGTGAGGTTACGGTCCCGAAAGCCCAGTCACAAGATAGGATTCATGGTGTAGGGCTGAGGGCGTTAGATACCCCCCCCAAACTCAAACCCCCAAACCCTAACCCCTTATAGAATCCCTATGGATCCCTTTAAAGGGACCCTTAATGTTAAAGGAACCCTTATAAACCCTGCAAAAGGAGCCTTTTCCCCTAGAGTGGGGCCCGAGCTCATCGCGGTCGGCCTTGACCTGCCCGGACGGGAGCTGACTTTGGGATCCTCTCTTCGAGTTTGGGAGGCGGTTTGGGGGTTTGGGAGGCGGTTTGGGGTTTAGGGTAGTTTAAGGGTTTGGGGGTTTGGGGGTTTAGGGGTTTAGGGTAGTGTAAGGGTTCAGGGTTTAGGGGTTAGGGGTTAGGGGTTTAGGGGTTTAGGGTTTAGGGGTTTTAGGGGTTTAGGGGATTTAGGGGTTTTAGGGGGTTTAGGGGTTTAGGGGTTTTAGGGTTTAGGAGGGTCTTGGCGCTTCGGGCTTAGGGCTGAGAGCTTTGGGTCTAGGCTTCTAAGATGAAGCTGGAGCTGAAGATGAAAACAGAAATGAACGATGAAGACGAAGATGAGTATGAAGAGAAGCAGCATGAGGAGCATCAGAATGACAGGGATGATGAGGATGAGAAGATGGGGATGAAGATGATGAACATGAGGAAGACCAGGAGAACAAGGAGCAGGACGAGGATGAGGATGAAACATGAGATGACCGTGAAGAGAAGCATGAGGAGTAGGAGGATGATTCGGCGTAATGAGGATGAGGGTCATCATCACGTTGAGGATGATGATGGCGATGCTGATACTGACGAAGATAAGCAGGAGGAGGAGGAGGAGGAGGAGGAGGAGGAGGAGGAGGAGGAGGAGGAGGAGGAGGAGCATGATTCTGCGGATGAGGATGTAATGAGGATGGGGACGATCAGTCGGATCAGGATGAGCATGAGCATGAGGAGTGATGGTAAGGAAGAAGATAGAGGTACTGAAGAGGTGCGGGTATTCGTCGACATCTTCACTACATGGAAGAAGTATGGTGATGCTCAATGCAAACATGTTCTATAGTGGTTGTAAGTACACCGAACCTTGCGGAAAAATTCTGAACTCCCCATCCCATACTCGAAACCAAACTCTGTGAAATCTGTGTCGAACCTTTGCGAACCATCTAAACCATCGAGATGTCCTAAACCTCACACAGGAAAGAAACCACAGAAGGCGCCTTCATGCCGCCCGTCACACGCATGATGGTCTCCCGACCGGAGAGGTCGGTGACCTTGCGGCCGGCACGAAAGAGGGGCTTTATAACTAGCACGACAATACTTAGTTGCTGAGTTCATAAGACCCCAACAGTGTACACTTCTAGGTTTGTAGGGGGTGATATTATCCCTGAAAGTGTAAAGTGTATCCACTCAGCTACGAAGAATAAAAAGGTTATGTTACCATTACCAGAATTACTTTTTGTCTGCGCTAGATGCAGATTTGATAAAGGGCCTTGAAGAGTGTCACTGGCGACCACATTTGCACCCCTGAAAAACAGTAGCCGCGACAACAGCATCAAAAAGACTACCGTTCCGAATAAACCATTCCAGCAAGCTGATAGAACCCCAAACCCTAAACCACTCCACCTTCCACCCTCAACTCTAAATCTTGGCTCTAACAGGCAAAAGCACTGCTTGGACTGATTCAACAGATTCGGGCTCGCTTCGGTGACCAACATATAGGTGGACGGGATGTCGAGGCTTCTGAAGCCAGCACAAGTACTCGGTTTAGGGTTTAGGGTTTAGGGTTTTAGGGTTTTTCTTGTTAAGAAAGGTATTTTCAGCTACCAGACTAGGGATCTATACTGTGGATGGACAAAATCCTGCATGACCCAATATAAGGAATATACCATGGTTCCCATAGTTTAGGGTCCTTAAAGTCATGCAGGATTTTGTCCATCAACAGTAGCAAGTAACATGGTTTCCTTGTTATGGTAACTCAAAGCTTCTTCCTTACCAAGGACCCAGTTGCCTACTCCTACCTAAAACCATGCACGGTAAAGTCGCCCCTGGAAGCAAACATTTCTGAGACTGAAAAACTTCACTTGGCCTCAGGCCCCACAACTGCAAGGGTGGTTGTAGGCTCACGGAAGTGGATCTCAACATGGGTAGCTCACTAAATTCGAAGCACTTTAAAAAAATCCCCATACAGCTGACATAAAGGAAGATCTTGCCCATGTCATTCCAATCTCTTCAGAACGTACGGTAACTTCGATCTCTCCAGAAACCCTGAGCCCTGAACCTGACATCATAGATGCTAAGCTAAGCCGAAGGCATGCACAAAGGTGTCGTTGAAGGAGGCATAGATGTGGGCCACACCTCACATGTAGGATTAAGTATGCTGAACCTTGTGACCGACCCTAAATGCTCGCCCCATGAGGCCCTGATTCCCTGGTTGTATGAAGTGACGCGTTGCTGCCCTGATTTGGACTGTGTCCAGAGCCTTGGGCATTTGTGCACGGTGCTCGATGAGTGATGTCATCGAGTATCATGACTGCGCAACACCTACGGCATCCCACAAGCAACAGATTCGAGTCTCCAGGGCTGACCGAAGCGGCTGAACCTCCCGTGTCTACGACTTAGCGACAAGATGGTTAATACAAGCCCTTCGTCGATGCTTATGGTTGCAGGTTTAGGGTTTAGGGAATGTGAGGGGCGTGCGGATTAATTCTGGGAAGAGCCGAAGTGGGAAGCACCCAAACACCAACCCTCACTAAACCTTACATGTAAACTCTCAAACCGGAACCGCCTGATTTCCTGTGAGATGCGTGTGGGATTTTGGAAAGACAGGCTTGGGTGTTGAAATTTGACATTTTGCGAATGTCGCCGGCACCCTATTCGAGTACCAGATTTCGACCTTGTGCTTTGGGACCCCAGGTGCACTTGGAGGCCCTTTTGACTTAGTAAGTCTACTTAGTATATCCCCTGGAAACCCTATTATAATCCCCATAACTTACCTTACTAACCCTACTTACTAAGTCAAAAGGGCCTCCAAGCAGGGCCTCAAGTGTCATGTATCGGGTCTGAATAATACAGTTACGCAGGCTATTCCTTAGGGTTCTTGATAATCTTGATACGAAATGTATCGCAAAACCTTATTCCCAAGGGTTCTTGATAACCATTATATACAAAATGTATCGCAAAACCTTATTCCCTAGGATTCTTGATAATCATTATACAAAATGTAGCGCAAAACCTTATCTTAGAGGGCTTTAAGAAAATGCTTCGCACCAGACCTGACTATTGTACCTGCTGCTGGAGCCTTCCATCCGCCAATACTGTGTCGAGCGCAGCCTTTAACCACAAACCCTAAACTCTAAACCACTAAACCCCTAAACCCTAAACCCCCAATCCCTGAACCCCTAAGCCTTAAACCCATAAATCCTACACCCTAGCTTTCTGAAAACCCCCAAACCTCGGCAGCCCCTTTGGATCCCTAAGGCGTGCGCCGAAAACGATCTCGCCCTCACGGACCTGAGGCCTCGGGGGAGTTTTCGGTTATGTGAGGTTTAGGGTTGTAGGGTTGTAGGGTTTAGGGTTTAGGGTTTAGGGTTGTAGGTGTAGGGTTTATGGTTTTGAGGTTTGGGATTTTTTTTGAACTCCTTTTTACGCCTGCTCGTTCGTCCCAAGCTGACATATGGGGTTTGGGGTCTAGGGTTTAAGGCCGTAGGGTTTAGGGCTGTAGGGTTTTTTGAGGACCTTTTTGCAACTGCTGACGTCTCTGCCATGCCTCACAGGGCTGTAAGGTTTCGGGTTTAGGGTTTAGGGCTGTAGTTTCTCTTTTTCTCACACACACACACACACACACACGGACACCAACCCCACCAAGCAAACCCCGCCCCGCAACCCCAAAAGACCTCACAGACCACAACACGAAACACCCTCAGAGTAAGCCTAGCGGTAACCTTTATTACAGCAACGCTAAGAGTATACCCTACGGTAACCCTCTGGTAGTATCCTTTATAGGACATCACATGTCTCTGGCACCCGAAAAGTGCCACAAATGGCTGGCCTTTTGACCCCCGGGAGATTTTTTCGGAAATCCGCCTGCCGGTAAAACCATGTAAAATCCGTCTTATCTTGAGATGCGATGGCCAGGCATTTGTGTTTCGAGAAACGTCGACCCCAAACGGGAATAGCCGAGGTCAAAAATCCAACTGCCAGCCTTTTGTGATGGTGGATTCCTTCTCCCCTCATCCTCTCTCATTCTCTCCGTCTCTCCCTACCTCGTCCTCCCTACAGAGTGTGGCCTCTTGCTCAGCCGGCACTTGTTGAGCCTGCTGGGGCCTCAGCCCTGAAGGCGAGGCCCCTTGCGCCGGCCCCTCCGCGTCTTTCCCTTCAGGCAACACACTAATGGCTGGCACATCGGTAGTCGGCTTCAGAGTTCCCTGAGTGCGCGGGAAGCTCAACCCTCGCATGGCATTCATTCCAAGCAGGTATATATACAAGACATGAACCCGTGCATGCCGCCGCAGCAAGAGCAAGACAGTCTCACTCTCTCCCCCTCTCCGGACTCTCTCCCTCTCTCCTGCTCTCCATCTCTCCCTCTCTCTCTCTCTCTCTCGCCTCGCTCTCCTTCTCTCGAAACTGGTATGCCTGCCTTTTGTTCCTGAACGATCCCTGGCCCCAACCCTGGCCCCAACCCCGGCCCCAACCACACCAGATCGTGCTTATGCGGCGCGGTCTGGACTCACGTGTGCCTGAAGCTTGTGCTTGGTGTTTTCCGCTGCCCCGATACCCCCCTTTTTCTAGGCGTGCCAACCATCTGCTCACAGATGCAAAACACCATAAATCACAAGTTTCAGGAAATCGGCAGTCGATTTGCTCGACCCAAAAACTTGTGATGTCCTATATGGCAGCCCTTACAGTAACCCTTACACCCTAAACCCGGAACCCTTAAATCCTATTAATTGGCATCCATTTCGTCGCCAAGTGCTTCGCTTCGTGACAGTCCGCATTGCCGATTGCATAAATCCTAAACCCTAAACCCTAAATCCTAAACTCTAAACACTTAACCCTAAAACCCTGAACCCTTGCAGTATCCCAGCATGAAGGAGCTGGAGAGCCCGACCCGAGGGACACGGCTTCGACCTGCTGCCTCGCCTGGCATGGGCTAAGCTCTCCGGTATAGTATGTTAAAAAATACACAGCATATATATATATATATATATATATATATACACATATACATATACACATACATATACACATACACATACACAGACACATACACATACACATACACATACACATACACATACATATACATATACATATACATATACATATACATATACACATACACATACATATACATATACATATACATATACACATACATATACATATACATATACTATACATATACATATACATATACATATACATATACATATACATATACATATACATATACATATACATATACATATACATAAACATATACATATACATATACATATACATACACATATAATTCATAATATATATATATATATATACATACATACATACTGTAAATACAAACAAGCAAATGAATAAGTCTATATGTATATGTATGTACATAAATATAGTACTCGATATATATATATATATATATATATACCTACACTATATAGTGTATCGTGTATACAAGTACATAATATGTAATGTCGGGGCTCCGGAGGTTGGACATTGGAGGTTCGGGCTTCAGGGTTTGGGGGCTCGGGGGCTGTAGGCTTGGTGGCTCAGGCTTTGGCGATGGTGCCCGGTTTGCGATTCAAGAGTTTCAGGAGGTGGGAGTGAGAGTTCGGAGGGTGCAGGGTTTGGGAGGCCTATGACAGGGGTTTAGAGCTGCGTGCTGCCCAAACACCTCAGCATCCCTTGATTTGGGGTTCAGGTTTCACCTCACTCCAACCAAAGTTCTTGAATTTCAGAGTCTTGAAGGAATCCTTAGAGGAAAGGCCGCAGAAAGCCTAAGCCCTAACCCCCCACAAGGCCTTGGGGGGCATGGCTCTGGCTGCACTTCAGAGGACGGCTGCCTGACAGACTATGAACCTTCGAGCCGATCGGAGGCAGAGAAAAGGGGGTTGCGGCTCAAGGTTGCAAGTTTTTGGAGGGGTCTTGGGTTTAGGGTTTCGGTTTAGGGTTTTACAGCTTTAGGGTTTTAGGGTTTAGGGGTTAGGGGTTAGGGGGCAGTCACAGTGATGCTTCGAGTAGTCTAGTACTCAGCACGAACGGTGATGACATGGTGGTAGGACCTGGTACTAGGGGAAGCGGAAACAGCTACCAGAATAAAGGAAGGAAGACACACCGCAGCGATGACGTGGTTATGCTCGGAACGCTGCTTGCAAAACACGGATTTCGCAGTGCTAGTCACAGCCACAAGAGCAAGGAAACTCTCCATGAATGAAAGTTCAAAAAGCAGCTGAAAGCAACGAACCAAGCTCATACCACTCCTTTTTGGCTCTGGCGCTGCCAAGCCGATGTGGTTGCAGGGCTAATGCGGGAGCACTTTGACTCTCCGGTAGTCTGACACGGCAGCCGCGCATTCTCCTTTTGAGGACGCTTCTTCCGTGCAGCCTAAACTAGCTTCTCCAAACATTGAGGAAAGTATCTAAGGAAAAACAGAAGTGCTCTCGACTTGCCCCAAAAGCCTTTGTACAACACGGAGGACAGACAACCAAAGGATGGCTAACAAAAGAGCTAGAAAAAGGCGAGCTTGGGCTATGCTGCGAGAGTCTTATTAAAAAGGGCCCTGCGAGCCCTGTCTATGCAGAAACCTGACACCTCCCTGGGCCAGGATGTTCTCCGTCTTTTCCGCGGCATAGCAGTTGCCGCAATACAAGGAGATTACGAACTCACAGGAGGAGTTCGACAAGTAGGACCTGCTTCAAGATAAGGTTCGGGTTTGGGGCTCATGCTCATGCCGTTTGTGGAACGCCGCGAGGCAACAGACTCGCAGCTTTCGTCCTGGTTCTTCTTCCGGATCTCATTGTGGCATATAATACTACGATGAGGTATTCAGTATGTTGTGCCATACCATGTTATGCAGGGCTGATGGTTTGGGGCGAAAAATCCTGCATCGGCTCGTGGGGGGTGCCCAGGGATTCAAATCCGGGAGCGCGCCCTCCAGGTACTTGGAGGGTCTTTAGAGGACTTAGTAAGTTCTAATTAGTAAGGCCCCTATAATATCATTCTTATAGGACCGATTATAGACCCCTTACATCACCCTATAGAACCCTTTAAAGGAACCGTATTCGAGTTATTAAGGCCCCTACTTGGAGGGTCGGGGGACTTAGTGAGTAGGTAGTAAGTAGACTTATAAGTATCCTAAAGGGGACCGTAATTGGGGTTATGGTACTTAGAAGTCCCTAAAATAACCAGTTAGTAAGTCCGACCCTCCAAGTATTGCTCGTAGGCAAGATGCTGCTGCGTTTCTTCCCCTTGCGTAGAGGGCAGTCTCACGTCCCGATCATCCACATGGTTCCCTTCATAAAAGTAGCTCGAGGATAGCTACAACTGAAGGAGCAGCATCCTTCACAAGTCTCCTTCTGGTGCTATTGCTACGACGATAGGGCTTGACCGTTTAGGGCTTGAAGTGTTTTCAGACTAAGGCGTTTGGCGACGACGACCACGAACCCTCGGCAGCAGCCTGTGTACTTCGGCAAGAAAGTCATGTCCGGGACACAGGGGTTGGCTCTTCACCTGGGTCTGCTTTGGACCCCGTGGGCTCGCAGAGCCTGGGGGGCTTCACTGCTTAAGTTTTTGGGTTAAGGGCTGGCAAGAGAGCTTACGTCTACTTACATTTTCCCATCTCTCTGTTCCTGTAGCTTTGCCTTGAAACCGGCATCGAGGGTCTAGTCTTAAGAGGGTCGAGTGGGCTCATTCTAGGCTGCAGAAACGACACCGATTAATATATGGGCTTTAACAATTAGAAAAGGGTTTTGAGTCCCACTGTACTAAAACTTAACTGAGGAACACCCAAAATAGTATAGGATTTCCGCCCAGGCTCCCGAACAGCAAACCCCTGCGGACCCCAAATGCTACACTCAAGCCAATCCCAAAAGGCTCAAGCCTGTTAGGGTTCAGGGTTTAGTGTTTGGGGTTTAGGCCTCCCAAACCCCCTGTGGCAAGCGAAAAAACGCCAGTAATGCCGTAAAGATCATGATATGGGAGTTTCCGAAAATAGGGGACCCTAATATAGTACCCTAAATAGTAGGATCCCTATTATAAGGACCCCAAATAAGGTACCCCCCATTTTCTGAAACTCCCATATTCCTCGATCGCTCCTAGACCCCTAAACTCCCTCAAACTATTTACCAGAAGCAACACAAAGGCCCTCAGACCAACTTCCAAGACAAAGCGCTCGGGCCCAATGCCCTCATGGCCCTGGATGCTCGTCTCTTGACATTAGACCCGAAGTCTTAAAGACCCAAAAACCCCGACACTAAAATGCCAACGACAGCAACCGAAAACTCTAAACCCTCTCCTGGAGGGTGCACGCGCTAGAAAGCCCTATAACCTTGCACTCTAATGCTGTACCCCTACCCTGAAAACCCTCAAACCCTGAACCTGCAAGGAGTTTGGGGTTTAGGGTTTAGGCCTCGTGGACGTTTATCGCTGAGAGTTCAAGCGCTTTCCACAGCGTGGCATACTGTCCGTCCACAGCAGGATAACTTAGAAGCTGCCCCCACCCTGCATTAGTGACTATAAGGATGATATTAGGGCCCTATTATATTCCTATTATACCACTATTACAGGGTGAGGGCCCCTTCTAAAGGATAACTGGTCTGGGTTCCCGGCACAGAACCAATGCTCCAGCACGTTAAGAGGGCGGGGCTCCTTGTGCAGGAAAGGCGGTCGGTCCGAATACCCCAAACTCAAGGGTTTAGGGTTTAGGGTTTAGGCAAGGTGGAAGGTTTACGGTTTAAGGGTTCAGGGATTTAGGACGTCGGGTCGGGAGTACTTCTCATTAGCACGACCACCCTTGTCACCAATATTCCATGGATAGTTGCTGTCTTACTTCAACATCAAATATACCTTTTCCACTGCCACGCGTCCGACCCAAATGTTAACTTCTGCAAACTAGCAGTAGTGCAAGTCTAGTACTAGTCATAGTACCACGCCGCAACCATTTCCAGCCTATATCCATAACTACTGATAATACCCCTTCTATTGCCATTACCCTGACTATGTCTGTTACGAGCACCAGTTATTGAAAAAAATTGCTACTAAATTAGAATAGGGTTCTAGGGCCCACTATACCGTAGCTATAATAAGGAACCCCCAAAATAATATAAGGATCTTTTTTGAAGCCTCTATGGTACTGGTCCTGGTTCTTCTGTGACCAGGCTACCACTGCCTCCTCCAGCAGCTCAAAGCCCGCTCCTGGAATCCGGGGGGCGAACTGCACTGTACCAAGCACCGAATTCATGGGCCTTCATAATTAGAATAGGGTTCCTTTAAAGGGGTCCTTGCACAAGGTCTATAGGGGATCTATAGTAGGGTTCTGTATTAGGGGCCTTGATAATTAAAATAGGGTTTTGGGGCCCATTATGCTATAATGATTATCAAGTAACACTCGTAATTATTTAGGCCCCTATATTAAGCTCGGTTGAACTCGGAACAGGGCCCAAAAACGTTCTCAAAACGCTTTCACCAGCGGACCCAACACCCTGTCCAAATCCGCGTTTTCCGAAACTCCTGGATTCGAATGACGGAGCCCGACAATCCAGACTCTTCTGTTTGGCTCTTTGCTTTTCTGGACTCTGAACCCTAATTAAACCCTATAAACCCCAAACCCTAAACCCTAAACCCTAAACTCTAAACCCTAAACCCTAAATAAACCCTAAACCCCAAACCCTAAACCCTTTAATCTAAACCTCAAACCCTATGTGCAGGCTCCTGGCCGCACGTGGCCCTTTTCGTCAAAGTCTCCGGAGCGCGTGGGTAGGAGCACCAGGCCGTCCTCCGAGGCAGAGGGTTTCGGGTTCAGGGTTTAGGGTTTAGGGTTTAGGGGTTTGGTTTTCAAGGGTTTTACTCTCTGCCCAATCTAAATGCCACCCCGACTACGAAGGTCCTTCATAATCAAAATAGGTTTGGGGGATCGAATAAAGAACCAAGGGAATATGTTGGTAATGATTCTGATCCCTATATTAAGTCGGAGGTTCTTCAATTGCGGGTTTCCTGTGCATCAGGCTTTACAGTCGAACTTTCGGGAGGAGACGGCGATCCACGTGACTCCATCACCCCTTCCGATACGCAAAACGCCTGAACTTACCTGCCAATCAGACACCAGTCCGAAACACATATATATATATACATATATGTGCAAAGATAGATAGATAGATGTACATACACCTGCTCTGAGTTTCTCTCTCTGTTCCAATACAAAAAGCAGCAAACCCACTCGCGCAGACGATCTTTAAGCTCAGATGCCAGGAACAACGTCTGTGAGAAGTTCAAACCCCATCGCCCGTGCCAGTCCTCAGCCGGCTCTTGCGACTGCCCAGACGCCTGCCAAGAGCTGCGACGGGCTGAGGGAGTACTGTCTTTCTCGTTCTCTCTATCTCTCTCTCTCTCTCTTTCTCTTTCTCTTTCTCTCTCTCTCTCTCTCTCTCTCTCTCTCTCTCTCTCTCTCTCTTTCTCTCTCTCTCTCTCTCTCTTTCTCTCTCTCTCTCTCTCTCTCTTTTTCTCTTTTTCTCTTTTTCTCTCTCTCTTTTTCTCTTTTTCTCTTTTTCTCTTTTTCTCTCTCTCTTTTTCTCTTTTTCTCTTTTTCTCTTTTTCTCCCTCTCTCTCTCTCTGTCGATCTTTCTCTCTCTCCTCCCTCCAGCTAAGTATGCGTGTGTGTGTGCACATACACACATGCATACATGCATACATACATGCACAATATATGCATTTGCTATCTACATATCTGCATGTCAGTGTGCACATATGCATGCAAAGGGCTCAGAAAACAGGCGACAGCGCCTGATTGCCGTAGCCCCAAGCCCCCATGCCATGGCCCTACAGGGAAGGGGGGTCGCTCAGAAGCCACGGCAGAGGAGTTCGCGGCTGGCTTCAAGAAGACGGCTTTCGCACAGAGCTGGCGATGAACAACCAGTTGACCACTCGTTTCAGGACCTATTTCCTGTTGGATGCAGCAGATGTCTCTGCCCTGGCTGGTGTCTTTGGTCTCTTACATTTGGTCCCATACCTCTGAGTCCACTTTATGTTGACGTACTCTGCCCTGGTCATCTCGGCTGAGAAGGATTACCATGAGCACCAGTGGGGAATGCTGCTGAACCGACTGCCTGATTGCCCACTAAGTGGCTTGCACGTGGATATCACTGAGTCTCAGGCCAAGCTGGTCCTATACGCGCGCATCCACTTCATGTTGATGTCTTATGCCTCGGTCTTCACGGCTGCGAAAGCTTACCTTGAGCACCAGTGGGGAATGCTGCTGAACCGACTGCCTGATTGCCCCCTAAGTGGCTTGAATGTGGATATCACTGAGTCTCAGGCCAAGCTGGTCCTATACCCGCGCATCCACTTCATGTTGATGTCTTATGCCTCGGTCTTCACGGCTGCGAAGGCTTACCTTGAGCACCAGTAGGGAATGCTGCTGAACCGACTGCCTGATTGCCCCCTAAGTGGCTTGAACGTGGATATCACTGAGTCTCAGGCCAAGCTGGTCCTATACCCACGCATCCACTTCATGTTGATGTCTTATGCCTCGGTCTTCACGGCTGCGAAGGCTTACCTTGAGCACCAGTGGGGAATACTGCTGAGCAGATTGCCGGATTGCCCCTTGAGTAGCTCGAACTTGCTGGAACGTAAGAGTGCTCGACATATGTATGTGTATATACGAAGCAAGTTGGCAAGTCACACCTGCCAACTCCTTGGCCGTGCGAGCCCTCCTCAAAGATGTGACATTATACCCTTTGGCTCTGCTTTTTCGATGTGTACACGCTGTCACTGCACATTTGGGAATGCTTGAGTGGGCACAGTTCTTTTGAAGTGTGGGGCATGTTAGCTTTGTTCTTGCCTCTCCCAGCCCCTGGAGGAATGCTCAAAACTGGACCGCAGGGAAGTCTGATGATCACTCCCTGTTGTCGTCTGTAGGTTTGTTGCTGGCTTCGTGGTCGTTCATGGGCCAGCTTTTGTTGTTGTCACGCTTTTGGAGGGTTCACGCTCCCGAGCCTGGTTGCGTGCGTCAGTGCTTTTAAATGAGAGGCGCTCGGATTGGCCAGACAGCTTTTAGCCCTGGAAGTGGCTGCTGGGTTCATCTGGTGATCCGTTTTTCGATTTTGCCTCTCATCGCAGATTTCTGCGCCACGGGCCATAAAGGACTGTGAGCGCATACTGCTTTCCAATCTAATTAGGTGCTTGTTGAATTCTTATGCATGTGGCGCGTTCACCGAACACAGGCCATCCGAAAGAAAGATATGCATGCAAGAATGTAGGTCTGTAACTGTGTAAGGAAGCAGGCAAGCAAGCAAGCATGGATGTACCTATGTATGTACGCATGTATGTGTGTGTTTGTATGCATATATTGATGTATGCATGTATGCATGCATGCATATATGTGCATATGCATCTATGCATGCACGCACGCATACATGCTTGCGTGTCCACATGTATATGTGCACATACAGCGGAACATACACACAGAGAGGCATACATCCTCTCTGTACGAAAGTCCGAACTCATAAATCTGCAGGAAGACCGAGCAAAGCATCCTCGTGCCCAAGATCTCCAATTGAAGCAGCTAGCATGCGAGCCTCGTTCTCTTTGGCTGCCCTGCACCCTCGACAGTCCTTTGCCCCAATGCCCTAGAGCCCTAAAGCATAAACTTTGAACACTAATAAACCCTGGGAACCCTGGAACCCGGACAGAGAGTACGGTTTAAGGGTTTATAGGGTTTAGGGCTCAGCGAATTTTGGAACCCTGTCGGAGCCTGGCTCAGGGCCTTGTGGGTTTGCACGGTTCCGATCAGCGTTGGGACCGCAATCAGCCCGTAGCCGATGAGCATGACTAAGGCAGCGAAAAACTTGCCCAGCACCTGGGGACATACACTATCTATCTACCTATGCACCTATCTATCTCAACATGTACTCGAAAAAAATGTGTATATATATATATATATATATAAATAAATGCACACAGTATGTATATACTTTTTGCATACATACTGTACAGTTCCTCTCTATCTATCTATCTATCTACCTATCTATATATCTGACTATCTATCTCTCTAACGATCTATCTATGCTGAATGGTTGACTAGGGTTCAAGTTTCGGGCCTTGGGCTTGGGATTTGCAGTATGCAGTCTCGAAGTTAGGAATAATTCAAGTCATCATGTTGCAGGGTTTGGGGCAGACCCCCAAACCGTAAACTCTGAACCCCCGAAACCATAGACCTTGAACCCGAAACACGAAACAAGGTTCAGGATATTTGGCTTGAAGAGCACCGTCGCCGGCACGATGTCGCCATAGCCGACGGTGCAAATTGTGACGGTGGCCCACCTTTCCAGTCTAAGCCCTACACCCTAAACGCAACACTCTAAACCCAACATTCTAAACCCAACACTCTAAACCCTAAACCCTACACCCCAAACCCTGCACCCTAAACCCTGCACCGTAAACCCTAAACCCTGGGTTTGGGGTTCATGGATTTACAAACAGCCCTTAGGAGTTTCGCTTTTGGGGCCCATGTAGGAGCCTCCGAAGAAAACTTTCAAAGGTGTTGGGGTATCTTCGAACAAACTAACCAGTGGTTTTGGCGACTCCTTGGCTCTTTAGCTCCGCATTTTATACTTAGTTGCTGAGTTCATAAGCCCCAAAAAAGTATACACTTTTAGGTTTATAGTGGGTGATATTATCCCTGAAAGTTGAAAGTGCATCCACTCGGCTACTAAGAACAGGGGTTATCATCTCCTTAGCTCCTCCAATATCACTGGTGAGTTAATACAGCTAGACGGGGAAGGAAAGGCAACATAACTAGCCTATATGGGGAAGGGAAGGAATATCACTACTGAGTGCTCAGACCTGTATTTTTGCTTTTTCTTTGCATTTCCAACTCATAAAACGACGAAGCTTTGCACAAGTGGCATGTCGAAACACAAACACCAGCAAGAGGACCTCCCAACTAGGAACAAGCTCTAGCCCCTCAAACCCTGAACGCGGACATGCAAATCCCGAACACTTAGGGTTTAGGGCTTAGGCTGAGTTCGGCCTGCAGCCAAAGAGGTAAACAACAGAAAGCGCTACATGACGTAAACCAAGCTGTAAGACCTTATGATCAATGTGGGGGCCTTAATACTTAGCATAGGGTCGTGGGGTGTATTATACTAGAACTATAATGAGGAACCCCCAAAATTGTATAGGTAATTGTTACGGCCCCTACATTATATCCTTATACTAGCCCTCATAGCAGCCCGTATCGACCCCTTTGAAAGGAACGCTATTCTAACTATTTAGGCCCTCATATTATCACCTCACCGAGCCACCACATGGCCACTGGGATGGAGTCCATCAGATTTTGGCCGCCCTCCGCCGCGTAAAGGCAGCTTCCAAGGAGCAGGACCACGACAAAAACGCCGAAGAGCCAGACTGCAATGAAGCGCATGTCCTCTTCTGGGTTCTTGTTAAAGAACTTCTTAGGTTACCATACTACAGACACCAAGTATGATTTACTATGGATCCCTATTCTGGCAACTTAAAGTCTGGGGTGTAGATGCTAATTTTCCTGTAGGGGTTCGCAGGAGCTGCCTAGGGTCACGGGGCCGAAAAATGGGGTTTAGGGTTGTGCGGCTCCTGTTGGGCTTACTAAAACAACCCCCATTCTTCCTACCATCCTTACTTGAGGGGTAAGCAGGAAAGTTGGCAGGTGGCTCAAGGGCTCAGCTCTTTGCCTTACCCGAAGCGTGTCCGGGTTGACGGTTCAGGGTTCGGCCTCCAATGAGGACTGCGTGGGTGCCTCCAAGTGGTGTCTGTTGCGGCACAGTCCTGCAACTCTGTCCTGCCACAAGTCCTTTACCCGAGATTAGGCTGATTAGACCGCAGATTGTGGCATAGTTTTCAAGCTCTTCCGCGGCAATGAAGCCTTAAACCCTAAACCCTAAACCCTAAACCCTAAGCCCTTGTTCCTGCTGTTCACTGGAAGGAGATTGCACCGGGAGACCTAGTCCCAAACCGTGAGGTGAACCGTTGACTGCCCAGCCGAGCCATGTGGGTGGTTTCTGGGTACCCTAAATATGGGGTGCCGTACTATAATAGGGACCCAAAAAGGGACCATGATTTTTGACAACCACCCATGTGTCATGTGTTTCTGATCTGCTGAAAGCACGGATAAGCCCCAACCTCAGAAACCTAAGCCGCAGACATCCGACTTTACAACCCGCAAGGGGGTCCTTGCGGAGGGCAAAAGAAAGCAGCTGAACCTCCCGGATGTACTGGAGGATCCTCAGAGGAAACGATAATCACGAA